AAAAAATACAATATATACTTAAATGTCCTTCGTTCATAAGAAGTACCTGCAAACGACATTTAAGATCAGTCCAGGAAAGTAAGGTAGAACAATACAGGATACGGATGCCATTTAAATGTTTCGGTCCGATGTACGATATACCGGTAGTCAGAGAACCCAACAACTTCCTTTTTTTTAAAAAAGGGCTCTTTCGTCAATGCACGTTTTGCCACCTGTTTTCAACTTGTTTAAACCTTCAGAATAGAACTGTCTATTTTGGTCCTCAAAGAACTCACTTGCCGCCTCCATGGCACCTTCATTTCTTCCAAAACGTCTACCACGAAGTTGGTTTTCAGTTTCGGAAACAGGTAAGAAGGGGGTCAAGTCCGGAGAATATGGGAAATGGGGAAGAATTTCAAAGCACAGTAAGTTGCAGCAGACATCGCAACTTGGGATATGTGAGCTAGCGCATTGTCGTGCGGGAGTAGAACGCATTGAGTCCGTTTGCCCCTCCTTTTACGTGCGATTTCTTTACGCAGACCTCTCAATCTTTCTTCGTCTGCAAAGTACCTACCGTTTATGGTCAAGATAGTCAATCATGATTGTCCCCTGACTATCCCAAACAATTGAAGCCATCAATTTCCCTGTTGGTGGCATCCTCTTGAATTTCTTCGGAGGGGTGAGCCAATGTGCTTCCACTGCATGCTCTGTTTTTTTTTCAATTCTGGATCGAAGTTATGGACCCATGTTTTATCCTGAGTGATGATCCGGAAGATAAAGTCAGGTTCATCTTCGTAGCGATACAAAAGATATCTTGAAATGTCAAAATTCCGGAAACAAAGTGATCCCTCGGAAGCATTAATCACAACAAAATTACATAAGAATTGCAGACTCGGTCCGTTTTTGGTCGTCAGTCAACTGTCCGGGGACCAATCTGGCGGACCATTTTTGACATACCATAGACTTCAGTCAGAATTGCCTGAACTGAAACAAAGCTTATACCCACTTACCTAGCAATGCTTCGTAGGTTTCGCCTTCTGTTGCACCTGACCAGATCGTGTACAAATGCCCCTCTTAAATTCAGCAGCTCATTTTTTCACAGTGGATTTTTCTTGGGGACATCCCTTTCTTACAGAGGTACTAAATGACGGCCCTGATTTTAACTTTCTCCATTCGGTCTAAATGACACACCTCTCTACTGAGTGTTTTATGTTACTTAATCTGTGTAAAACCGCGTGTAACTCAGTAATTTTCAATAAGATATCGGTACCGACGTGTTGTCTGTAAATGTCAGTGTAGTGCCTAGAAGTACATTGGGCTGAGAACCAGTTATTTGCACCGGGGAATTAAAGAACTGAACGCCGGCAAATAAAATCTACAAAGGTGATATTTTATCGTAACAAATAAGGGTTCTATGCGAATTTTATATTTAAGAAAATATCGAAGTATATTAAATAATATATCTTGTTTTATTCGATCAGGAAACACGAAATTCATAATAAATCTTGCCCAATTGATTTACTTCTATGTTCGTATGCGCATGGAATAAAGTTATTTGATTTAGAAAATCTTTAGAACATCAAACATCAAATCCCTTTGCCATATTGAGCTCAAAATTAAAATATAAACAATGTATTACGTTCGATATTTAACGACGTAAGCATTTTTTATGTGTGATTGGGCATGCGGGGTTAAGGGGGGGGGGTCTGTAGAATCAATCAGAATCATTAACATGCATGTGAACATACCTCTTCTCTTACAGAAATGTTACGTTTCACAACATGACTACCATGGAGTAGACACGTTTTTCTACGGATGTCTTAACACACGGGTAAGTAAAGCTGTGATGTTGCGAATCAATAATGTTGCGAATCAGTATGCAACAGTTATTTTTACGATCAAAATACCGAGAAATAATATGAGGTTATTATACATTGTTGAGTACAACACTTAATTCTATTGAACGATTAAATATCTGTCAAAACTAATTTGGTCGACGAGACGCTAGCCGAGTTTTCTATCTGTTTACGGGGGCAACAGAATAAGTAGTGTTCTCAATCGTGTTTAATGACCTCTTTATTTCACACCATCATCTTTGGCATTTTTAAATCTATGTAACTTCTATTACAAGTAGAGTTTGATAGTTATTGAAATGGAAATGAGGCAAAAGGAGTGTAATATATATTTTATACGAACTTTCCTAGGTCTCTAGAAATGAAAACAATGCTTAATTGACATGATTGCATCCAATGCAATTTTATAAGGTGTGAAATAAAAGAACAACAACAAAAATCAATAATTACTTGACCATGTCTTATAGTTGGCCTCTTGTTGAAAAAATGATTAGCAGTTCATTAGACCAATCCTAATCCTACCATAATATTACAATTTTTAATAATTTACAGTCCTATTTTATTCCTTTTATTAGATGTGTTCTTTTAAGGAACACAAAAGTAGTTGTCAGAAGTTATAATCTATCATCACTTATTTTACGTCATCACCTATGTCGCAGTTGTAGGGTATGTCCTGTTGAAGCCGGTGATTACTATATCAAATATTAACAAAGTGTCACTTAATATATTTTTTTTTTCATTATTTTTCATCTAAATTATTAAATATCCGGGTTACTCAGTTAAGTAGAGTTTACTAATTTCCGAAAGCCCGTAAAATACCTAAAAATCGACAGCTTATGAACGTTCTTTGGTCTTTCAAATAGAAAGACCCTGGTAAAACAAATTAAAATTATGATAAAATATTTGTATCAGAATTAAAGCTTTTTATTAATCCTTTCACTTAAACATAAAATACATCATGAATTTCCATAATGCTCATTATGTGAAGAGGCATATATTTGACAAAAAAGAGAAGAATTTAAAATGAAAAGGAAGGTACATATTGTAAGTTTATGAAGTGTTGTAGTTTTCTTGTACCAATATCGTAGAGCATATTGTTTAAAGGTAAAATGTTTGGTAAATAATTTAAGATTACGTTTGCTTGTTTTGTCTCAGGTATGTGAGATTGTTATGAAGCAAGCCTACCGGGATTATCAAATATGTGTTGCTAACATAACCCAAACCCTGTCAGGATTAAACCGTGATCAAGTATGTGGTAAAATACATAAACGCCAGCAAAGTGCCACACTCTGTACTGCTTGTTGTGGAGATAATAGTTGTAACTATGGCACCTGTCAAGAACTTAATGGTAAGTAAATAACCGAAACAAATAAATTATATAGGTGAAGTTTCACCTTTTCTCGCTGTTTTAATGATGAGCTTGTACAATGAAACAATTTTAATAGGCAAATACAAAATATTCACATTCAAACCTAGTTAAGTCAAATTTCAGTATTTTGAAAATTATTCCTTAATTCACTTCAAATTACATGTCAACAGAATTCAAGCAGATAAAGTAATTAAGATATTACTCGTTGATTGTTGATAAATGGCGACCCTTTTCACATTGTTTTAGTTTTCTTATTAGGCCGTCTCTGTTCAAGTCATAGTTAAACATTTCGGCCTGATTTTGTGGATACCTTTTTTCTCTCTAGTACTTAACTATAATAAAGAAAAACCCCTAGAGAAAGTCAAAAACAACAAAATCACGTACCCTAGAACCGTCTTAAGCATAATTCAACATTTCGACATGACAAATGGTGAAAGTTTGTATTTAGAAACATACGCAGATGTGTTCATTCGGTGGTTCAATGCGACACATTCATACCATTTCATGAAAAGCTACGTATGGTCGAAGAATGTTAAAAAACATGAGTCATAAACGAGGAAACAATGGGTGGAACAAAACAAAATGGAATATTGAAAGGAGATTAGATGTTATGGAGACTGTATATCACAGTTAAGACGTCAAAAGACAAAGTTAAAACCAGTTTGACGACCGATGTCCACATTCTATTAGATATTTTATTGTATTCGAATTATGTACTAATGTTGTATCAAAACAAAAGTTTATTTAATGTGCTAAAATAGCATGTTTGTCCATGAAATAGTGTTGATGTTTGTGAAGGAGTGATAGAATCTCTAATTTGGTAAGAAAATTGGGAACCCAGATGGTGAACGATTCTGTCAGGAACGAGCCTTTGTTAGCTGATTATGATAACAAAGCAAAGTTCTACTTTAAATTTAATGTTTCAAATTGTATTTTTCTTTCATTGAATGCCACATTAGTATAGTAGACTATCATTGATATTAAAAAGTCAAACGTTTTTGAACATCAAACTATCAGTTAGTATAACAGAAATAAATCAATTTTAATGACTATTTTTGAACTATTTTGAAAATAAAAACAAAACTACTCATTTTGTAGATTGATTATACAATGCAGCAGGCATTTGAAAATCTCCCGCATAGACAAAGCAGCGGAAGTCAGGCGTCATTCCGACGTCAACATATTCCCATGGAATTCTCACTGAACCTTTATATCTAAAGGTCTTTCGTTTTAGCCTTAATCAGCAGCTGGTGTACGTCTTGAAAACGTTGCATTCAAAGAGTGTCATTATTCCCTTTGCAGAACATTTAATGATCCCTAATTTGTCTTACAGGATTTTTTGAACGAGTTTATTTAATTAAATTGCTTCCTTCCTAAATTGAAATATTACGTTTAATTAATTAAAACATATTGGACACATACACATATCAAACAAGACAAAGAAATGAAGGCACAAGTATATATGTATAACAATCTTCGTCAGTGAAATTGAGGGTTTATTCATTATATTCATCTTATCTTGTCTCCTTTCGAACGTAAGGAATTTGAAAACACTTCAAATCCATTTATTTATAGGAAGGAAATCTAAGTAGAATCTAAAAAATTAAAATGTTTCGAAAATACGATGAAAGTTCTGTAAGGGATAAGTTTAATACCATATATATTCTGTGATAAAAATAATAAATATGTGGACATATTTTGTATCCTCTCCAAATCGCATGCATGTATATATATGATTGATTGATTTGTAACCTTTTTCCAGCATTATCAATAGAAATATCAAGTGAAGTTTTATACATAGCAGAAAGTCTAAAATTCTAAACTATACAAATATTGTGATAGTTCCCACTCCCGATAATCAAGCATTAATTCCTAGATTAGTAGCATATTCTTGGTTATTTGTACGACCATACAACCATGCTCCAAACGAGACTGCGTTTCCCGAAGTATGAGTAATCCGATATTTACCCGATACAACATCGGAATATACCACTATGAACGTGCCGTGTTGGGGAACTGTTGTAGCTATAGTCTCTGATGGTGATAGTGGTACGCCATTCAGCAGCAAACCTGACACTGGATATACCTCAGATATAATAATTTGCAAAGTACTTGGCTCGTTAAAACCTGTAGGCACAAAAAAATCATACACGTGACCGAAGAAAGTGATGTCGGAAACAATCATCATAGAGGGATCTCCAAGCACAAGTGTGGAACCATGGCCAAATAAGGTTACAAGAACCGGCAAATCTGTAATAATTGAAATGATTGCAGAGCCTGTATACGTTCTGAACGCGGAGTTTCTTTCATTCAAAGAAAAAAAGTCGATTTGGGTTCCGACTTTATCTGTTATCTTTACTGACGTTTGATTAAAAGGTGCAACAATGCTGACTGTAAAATCAGGTCGAGGCTTCATAAAGCTAATAATATGGACAGTACCTAGTGCATTTATCGGTGGCATGGCGGCTTCAATGTAGTCACAGTATTTTACAGCATTGTCGGGAATGTTTGCACACACATGTCCAGACAGAACAAATAAAGGTGCACTGGCGCTTATCATTGTGCCTGTCATATCAGATGCCGTTTTATAATACGTCTGCATTCTGCTCAAAGCAATAGTTTCGGACAAGCCTGAACTTGTAGTTAAAGTGACTTGAGTTGTATCTGAGGTTCCAACAACGAGAAATTCGTCCAAACCTGAAGCCGTTGACGGATGACCGGAAATCAGATAAGTACTTTGGAGTGAAGATTCCGGCAAAATGAAACTGCCGTCAGAACTTCCGGTTCTTAAATTTACGCTAAATATGACAACGGGAGTATTTGCTGTTACAACAACTGCTTTTGAAGAAATCGATCCAGAAGCGGCAGAGGCAAGCGTGCTTGTATACTGTTTTGTTAGAACTCCGCCAACCGTTGAGACTTCTTCATCAATGGCAAGACTCGGAATTAAAATTCTGACGGTGGCCTCACCTTGTGGACACATGACATAAAATGTAGGAGAACCACTATTGGTTTTACCATTTGCCATGTAACCGAATATGAAGCTAGTACCATAATATGTAGCTGAAATGAATATGCGTTTTTGGTTAGCATTAACAAACAATACATTTAAATCCAGTGTGTGAATAATTTTATAAAAGAATAAACATTAAACATTTGGCACACCATTTTTTTACCTATTTCTGATTGTTGTGCTAGCAAAATATTCAGCACACCAGTCAAACGATACATCATGATGAGATGCGAAGCCGGCACAACATGCTGAAAAACATCCTCATATCATACAGAGCTACATTTGAATTACATGTATTATGAAATATGAGCTGAAATGTGAACCTGACGAGAGATGCAGAACAGCATTCAGTTCAACATTGGAAATGAACAAAATGGCCGATCACAACATTCAGAAAAGCAATTGAACTTTATAAATGTCTACACAAGATGACGATTTAAAGCTATCACGACATTCAGACATACTTCAACACAACATTCGAAAAGTTGATAAATGGCGATATGAGATGTGACGTTTGCACGACATTCAGCACACCATCTACCTCATTCGAGTATTCAATCGAGGACAATAACAAAAGAACAATGTATGAGGTGAAATCAAAAACTTCCCGGACTGGTCTGTTTAAAAAGATTATTGACGTCCGCTTGTCATGAAATTTACCATGAAGGTATTTTTTAACTAATTTGAGTAGCAACATGTATGACAAAAAATCAATTTTGTAATATTTCGATATTATTTTTCACATGAAACATGCCCGAAACCCGTGTACGGAGGATTTCAGAATTAACTTTATTTTTTCTAGAAGTTAATAATACTCTTTCATGAGTGTCTCAAAATACTGGCAACAGAACGTCGTTATTTTTACGTGACGTAAGCTGAACGTTTTAAGTGAACAACTGCAAAAATTCAGCGTGATCGGATGACGTATTGCCATTTTGTGAATATTTCTATACGAAAAAATGTCAACATCAGATAAACGTACGGAGCAGCGGGCAGTCATAAAATTCTGTGCGATGTCTGGAATGACTCCGACTGATACCAGGAAGTTTTTGAAACAGGAGGGTGTTCATAATTGTTCTAGGACACTTGTGTTTGACTGGCACAAACGTTTCAAGGAACGTCAGACGGAAATTACCGATAGTGCACGAAGCGGAAGACCGGGTAACGATCAGCGCTCAATCCAAAATGTTGAGGACGTCATCGCCAAAGATCGGAGAAAGTCGATTGATGATATCGCAGACACCGTCGGGCTTTGTCGTGGAACTGAACATAAGATAAGGACGAATGATTTAAACATGAATAAGATATGCGCCAGCTGGATACCAAGGTTACTAACAGATGAAAACAAAGCAACCCGTGTAGAAGCTTCCCGAGAATTTTAACGGCGATATGATAGAGACGGCGATCGATTCCCAAGGCGCATTATCACTACGGATAAGACGTGGGTGAACATTTACGACCCGGAGAGTAAACGAGAGTCGATGGTGTGGAAACGACCTTCATCACCTCCCCCAAGAAGGCGAAAACCTGCAAGTCGGCGACGAAAGTTATGTATATTTTCTTCATGGATAGCCAGGGTATGCTGTTGCAACATGCGGTGCAAAAATCGGCGACATTCAACAAAGAGTATTATCAAAAGGTAAGCATAAATTATGTCGCATGAAATGTTTTTTTCTAAATTTCTATGTTTCTTTATATGTAAGGTGAAGCGTATATAAAATATAACAAAACATGAAAGAAACTATTATTTTTAGAATTTGCTGCACTTGAAGTAGTTTCAAATAAAATGAATTTGTTATTAACAGGTTGCGCGGAAGGATCTAAAGAACGCTATTAGGAAAAAGTGAGAATGGCGCGACATCGAAAATTTTACTTTTCATCAAGATAACGCTCCTGCACACCGCCAAGACGAGACACTCCTTACTATTGACTTCTTAGAAAATGAGCGGCTACGTCATCCCCCTTATAGCCCCAATCTCACCCCCTTAGACTTTTGTGTTTTCCCTAGACAGATTTGAGGGGTCGGAGGTTTGATACAGAAGATGAGATCAAATATGATGTGAGGTCCGCAATTAGAAGTTACACTCCAGAGTGGTATGCAGACAATTACCGGAAGTGGGTACAAAGGCACAGGAAGTGTATTGAACACAAAGGAATTATTTTGAAAAAGCATGAACGTGACGGTAAGTTGTTCCTGGAATATGAACGTCACCTGACCTTCGTTAGCGTCGCCGAAGTGCTCCGTACGTGATATAGTGTGTATTTTAACGGGGTGTTAAATATGTGTAACATTAATGAAAATCATTGACTCTTAAATATTCATGCAGCGATTTCTCTAAATTTTAATTTGATACATGTCATTATAAAAACATACTCAAAATAACAAAGTTATCGTAAGAGTTCTGCAACTTTTTGACTATACCTTGTATTCCAATATATAATAGTAAAGTGAAACATTTGTTTTTTTTCTGGAACTATGAACAATTTCATAATATAAAATATATAAAATTATTATAATATGTATTATTTCATAATATAAAAATAAAAGAATAATACTTTCTGGCGGGAAAATACAGCTGATTTCATCAGTAGACCATCCTATGACTTCAGAGCATTCAGCAGTCGTTGGACTGCTGGTTCCAGGAATGTATCCAGTATCACACGTCAGTGTTGCTAAGGAACCAGTAGAACTTTGAGAGGTGACAACGAGAACACCGTTGTTAACAGGTGGTGGTTTGGTACAATCTGAAATAGATAAGGGTTTTGAATCATGCTCCTATAAAAAATTGTTGTTATATAACTTATACTGATTTAGCTATTGCAAACATCTGGAAAAATGTGAGCATTCGGAAGCCAGTTCATTTAATTGAAAAAGTACCATTTTTATGGCTCATGAACTGATTTAACATTTTAATAAAGTCGTATCATCTGAATGGAAAGCAAATTTGGACAATGCCGTCTTTAATAAACTTCACGATATAAATTCATCTATTGATGTGTCACCATCTCTATCTCTGTCAAACCGCCGTGATCAAACAGTTTTTCTGCATTGCCGAATTGGACACACTGAAATTAACTCTTATCGCCTCACAAATGACAATGCCCCTTTCTGTGCAGGTTGTAACGAGAATTTTACTGTCAAGCACTTTCCTCTGGAATTCACAGGCCCGTAATATATTTTATTCTGTAAATTCACTCAAAGAACTCTTTAAAGTGACATTATGCTCATATTTTCATTGTCAAGTTGAGCTGAATTGACTTTATATTTCAAAAGATTGACTGTCAAATGGTGTTTGACCAACAGGTGATAATTGAAAATGTTTAGGATGAAATTATAAATCTGCCTTAAATATAAAAAGACTGTCCCACATTTTTATAAACTGAACGGTACACGTAAATTCTAATGGATATTTACTGAAAATTCCTTAGCATCCCTGTGCTATTTATTGTTTTACGCAGTCAATTATAAAATTAAAAGGAATTATTGCAAAATGAAAACTTATTTATTTATTCACATGTTCACTCATTATATACCCTTGGATGGGCATAATGTCACTTTAATACTATTCCATCAAAACATCATTGATTATTTGAAAGAGATCACCTTTTATTCTAGGATCTAGTTGGTTCATTTTTTTGTCATTTATAACATTTTAAGCCTATTATAACATTCAGCACGATATGGCCCGTGATGTGTTGACCCAAACAAACATGATGTAAATCATATGTTTGTGTGTACCAAATGCATGGTTATTTTATAGATAATAGTTTTAATAATTCAAAAGAAAACAAAGAAATGATGCATAATGAACATCAATTATATGAGACAAATGGAAAAAAAACTTAAACTAAAAACTGATTCAAAGGATATTGCACTCGGCTTTGGCCTTATTATAATTATTTACCATTCGCACTATCAATATTTTATCACTAATTACAAAGATCTTTTCTAAAATATCAATAAGCATATCAGTTAGATTCTAAATATATTTTAACATTTGGAAGTTGTTTTTTTCATCATAACGAAGACGTGATCTTTTGTCAGTGTGTATATTTATTTGCATTTTTTTTGTGTAAAATTTACGATGAACAAAAAACTTATCATGAAGTCGACACGTCTTATAAAAGATCGGGTTATTTACTTAACATTTTGTTTTATTTCAAACTAATCATATTAAACAGGTACAAAATTGCTGTTTAGTTGACACACACACTTTTATGTTGCCCTAAGTCGGACACACGTGCTTTGCAAAAGAAATAACGGATAGATCTAGATTTTTAAAACAACCTGCTACTGTTGTCATCGTCTTGAATGCAGTGCCTAGTCCCGACGTCGCACCCGAAAGCAACTGACTGCTCAATAAACATTCTTTGGTGACGGTGTTGTACGTTGACGTCACGCATGTATTCGGTGTAACAGCGTTTCTCGAAGTACACTCTGCGGCGCAGACTGACGCAGATCTAACTGTAAGTGCCTCATCTACGGTATTTACACGGTATCCAATATGCACCTGATAGCGTTCATTTTGTAATAATGCTCCGCAACACCAAGCCAGCCATAAGACAAAGAAAAAAGTAGAACTGTTTATGTAACGCATACTGTTTTCAATGACGCGAAAATATTTTACGCAAACTTCATTACTTATCTATGCATAACTAGTTCTTAAAGAGTCAACAATACAGTGTATTAGAACGGTTAACACTAAGGCGGTTTAAACGTCGCTCCTGTTTGATTTACCAATGAATTTCACTAAGGTACTGATTAAATATTTATCATACTGTGAACCTCGGGCGCCGAGCTTAAATGAATTGATCCCGACTGGGTTACATTTCTATATGTACTGTCAGGTATTATTATTGATACAAACATTTAAAACTTGTCTAATTGTGATTGATTAATTACTCTCCCAATGATTAGTATCATACTTAAATATAATTTTCCAATACATCATTAGATTTGTATAGAATAGCAAGGTTTCGAGATTTTAAAGATATTATTATCTCACTCCACCAATGCATATTAAAATAAGAGGTTTATATATATTCGAATATGCAAATTAATCATGATTTATATCACTTTGCAATTCTCGTTTCATACTGAGAAAACTTACATAAATTGTCCATCAAAGCAAAATAATCAGTTTGAAACTTATTCTCAATTCAACACAGTAAGTTTTAATCAGCACCCTATCTTAGATTATTGAAAAATGGACAATTTCATAAACTCTTATATTTATTATAGAAAGTAATGTTTCTAAGCTTTATATTATTTTGAATTTTTTAGCAGATTTCAGAAATATATTGACACGAATATACATGTACATGTTCTATTTTCTAAATTAATTTGGCTATAGTAAGATTTTGACATTTTAATATTGTTACAAAAGAAATTAAATTGAAAGCCTTTACTATCGGAAGTAAAGCATTTGCTCTTTCTTAACATTATTAATTGTTTTTTTTTCCTCTTTTTAGCTTCAACCGGCAGTTTATCATTTTGTGTTTTTCTTCCTTTGAATTTTATAATGTATTTAGACAATATCTACGCAACTGAAATATTGCTAAATTCCATGCTCGAAATATTTACGTTTAGATGTGGTTTTAAAGCATGATTGCAAATGATTTATAAATATTGCATTACTTGTTCTGTTTACCTGATTGAAAACAAATCCATTTTAAGATAAGGATCTCCGAAATTTTTATGACGGTGTTATGGCGTTTGCACAACGTCAAAATATTTTACTTCTGACCGAGGCACCTTATTTTTCTGTCATAAAAATGGATGTCAAGTCTGCATATGACAGAAAACAAGAAACATTGCCCCCAAAACAAGGTAAAATTATTATAGGTTTCATTCAATCGAAAGTGTCGTTTAATTTTAATCTTTTGTTTTGTTTGTTTGTTTGTTTCATTTTACGCCTTTTTCAACAGTATTTCAGTCATATAGGCGGGTAGTTTCCTAACCATCGTTCCTGGAGAGTTACACCAGTACTAGACAACCTTCCTCCGCGCTAAACTACCAAAGCATCTCCCGGGGATCGAACCCACGCCAGAGAGGTACCTAGATTAGAAATCATCGACTCTAACCCCTCGACCACGGAGGCGGTCTATTTTAATCTTTACTACATGCAAAGTGTTTCACTAGGTCAAGATAGTGAAACAAAACGTTGGCTTTTTGACAAGTACTCATCATATTGAGGTCGGCACGACCATAAATCACTATTTCATCAAAATATGTGATGTTTTTGGCAAATTAAATTGTGCTAGATTAACGATGAATTGTTTTAAAATTCGAACGAATAATTAAAATGTTGGAAACACTTTAAAATGTCTAGTAGTAAGAAATTAAAAAAAAATTGATTTGCCCGCCATGACTATTTTGTCCAGAAATATACGGTGTCTCGGTTAGAATTATGATATTCTGATGTTGCGCGGAAAGGTTGTGGTTATCGTCCTTCCTCCGTGTTTATTCTTCCGCATTCTACAAAATATATTTGATGCAAGTTATCCATTTAAAATTGAGTTTTGAGTAACTATATTTAAAAGTGGTCTCTTGTGAATTGTTACTAGACGAATTTATAAAAAAAAAACAACAAATATTCCAATTTACAAATGTTTCTGTTACAGGTTCACCATTATAAGTTAAGATAGTTAAGAATAGACTTAACAATCTTTAGATATTCAAGTTTTCCGCTTTCAATAACGCCTGATTTTTTAAGATAAGTAATAGACGCTATTAAGAAAACCAAAAACTAATGCTATAAACTATCAGGGGTTAGTAGAGCAACCGACTGCAATGTTTCATTCAAGATTTTCTATCATTAACATGTAGCCGACTAAAGACAATAATAAAAAATAAAACCCAATTAATCACTTCAAGGATAATGCAGAAATATGCATTGTTACGATGTTGAAGACGAAATACATTTCTTTTTTTTCTGCTAAAACTGAAATGATATAATAACTAATAGTCGTGTTGTTAATTATTATATGATCTACATATAGCTTCAATATTATTGGTCCATAGAGAAGTCAACAGAGCTTTTTTTTTATATAAAAATCATATTCACTGGCGGAGTATAAAAATAGATTCAGACACATATTCAATGATCATACATCGTAGTCTGTAAATTACGCGTGCGCAATAAAGAATAATTGTATTTTTTTTTCTTTATGGCATAATTCTCGATGTAAACATCATTACTTTACTATTATAGTTAAAGGTTACACCGCAATGATGAGTTTAACATAGAATAACTGTTGTATGCGCATAGTCTTTGCACGTCTGACACGTGAGTCTTTTTCCCGCGCTTCTACGATACAGGCAAAGGTTTTATAAGGTTGTATTTTTGTGATATTCAAATTATTAGCCTTTTCACATAAAAATAATTATTGCATAGAAACCCATGTAATATGATGTGATATTCACCGGCAGAAAGCCATAATGACTTCGGCTATCGCACAGGTTAGTGCGTCATCTGCCGATGAATATCACGACATATGCAATAGCAAACTTGTCATTAATTGTAGTATAACGAATTACCAAATGTTTATGAGAAATAAAACAATACTGACGACGACATTACACATTCATACAACTTTAGAAAGATTAGAAAATATCAAGATGAAACATATTTGAATACACGCAATACAATAAATTAAAAACGTAAAAGATGCCGCACTGTGAAACATTTTGAAATTTGACAGGTGCAATTATTTAGATCATTAAGTTTACCTTTTGCACAATAACCTTTTAGTATATTCAAATTAATTTACGTATTAATAAGACCAATGGGTTTGTCGATTTTTTTGCTTTATGTTTTTGTCTCATATTTGAATAATATTATACTATATGTATGGTAATATTTATGTGAACGATCTGTGATCAATTGTTTTAATATTTCTATATTTGAGCTCTGAGTGGACTAAGTAAACGTTCACTTTGTTTGTTCATGACAAGATTCGTATTTTCAACAATGATTACAATAGAAGTCAAGTTATGGAGTTACTATTTTCCGTTATGACATTACCTTAGAAAATCAGATTGCATGCAAGGAGAATATCATATCTTGTTATTAAGAAACTAAGGTAAGAATATTTTCTTTAAAAAAAAAGAGACAATTTGTCTAATACTAGCCTCGGTTACTGGTTATTTAGTTTCCTTACCGGTTTAGCTAAAATACAACCATTCCAGTTTACATGGATAAACGTGACACCCTTCCAATTGATTTTAGAATTATTTAAACGTGTAAAATATAGTTAAGAAATATTTTAATCTAATGTACAGTTGTTCGATATAATATTGTATTATTACACAATGGACATTTGTCATTGATAGCTTTGCGTATCAATTGTTACTGTCAACATTATTGTTATGTAAAGGCATTTTAAGGTCAGATGTTTCGCACCGGCAGACTTCTGAAAATATTGAAAGATAGAATTTGTTCAATCTATATGAGCGCATCTGCGCAGTCTGTTCAGGATCCATGCTGTTTGCTTACCAAAATCTATAACAAGTGGAGAAACTGATATAGCGAACAGCATGGATCCTGATCAGACTGCGCAGATGCGCAGGCTGGTCTGGATCCATCTAGTTCGCAAACCCATTATGATGGTTTTGTCACGACGCGGCTCATATATGCAATTAAAATGCATTGTTTTTTCACAACCATGTGATAAACAGTATTGTCTATTAAAATAACTTACTTGTGCTACTTGACTTGTTGTAAAATATTAACTTAGCCCACTCAGAGCTCAATTATACATATAGTTAGCAATTGGTCACAGATCGTTCACACAATACATATAATATTATTCAAATATGAGACAAAAAACATTAAGCAAAAATCGACAACCCCATGGGTCTAATAATACGTAAATTAATTTGGTTATCCTAAAGGATTATTGTGCAACAATTAAACTTAATGATTTAAATTATTGCACCTGTCAATTTCAAAATGTCTCACAGTACCATACCTTTTACGTTTTTATTTGTATTGCGTCTATACAAATATGCTCCATCTTGATATTTTATAGTCTTTTTAAAATTGTATGAATATGAAATGTCGTCGTCAGTATTGTTTTATTTTTCATAAACATGTGGTCATTTAATATACTACAATTATTGACAAGTTTGCCATTGATTATGATGTGATATTCACCGGCAGATGACATACTGACCGAGGTCATTATGGCTTTCTGCAGGTGAATATCATATCATATTAAAAGGGTCTCTATACAATAATTGTTTTATGTATGAAAGGGCTAATAATTAAAACATCACAAAAGTTTAAACTTACACAGCTTTTGCCTGTTTCGTAAAAGCGCGGGAAATTGACGCACGTGTAAGGCGTGTACGACTACGTGAACGTTGCGCATACAAAATTAATTCAATGTTATACTTATCCTTGCGAAGTAGCCTTTAATTATAATAGTAAAAATGATATTTTAATCGAGAAATATGCCATAAAGAACAAAGAGTCACATTTCTTTTATTGCGAACACGTAATTGACAGTCTACGATGTTTGATCATTGAATATGTGTCTCAATCGATTTTTAGACTGGGAAAAGTGAAAATAATAATATACCTAGTGAATATGGTTTTATAAAAAAAAGTTCTGTTGACTTCTGTTTGGACGATGAAACCAGCAAGGGACAAATAAAAGTACATGAGAATCGCCTGACAGAAAATCATCAAAATCAACAAAGCAATTATCGCTGAATGCGTGCTGAAATGACACATTTATATCATTAGGAAGAAGGAATTATTGATTATATATCATCCTATTTAATATTTCCATTTAATTATCTCTATATTGAGAAAAGTTATTTAAACACAATTTATCACAATAACGTTTCAGTGTATGAACAATTCAGAAGTGTAAATATTAGACTTCCTTTCAAAAATACATGATAAAAGTTTGCTTACGATAGATAATTGGGGTAATCGGATACCATACAACAAAGGCTATAAACTTTTTATGTATCAAATATGAACAATAAAAGACATTTGTACATATTGTTGGTCATTAGCAAAACAAAACACTCCTATGAATGAGTGTTGAAGTAGAACAACGGACAATTTTAACGTTTACTTTTTCCCAAGTGTTCTCTTTATCATTTGAATATGAAACAAATTTAATCAAGGATATTTACTTTTTTGAAATATTCACGATTCGAAGTATTTGACCGTGTTTTTTTCTATTTACACTTCTTTCGGATGTTTTCTATTTAATAAATTATTAGTTGATTAATAATTCAAAGGCTTATTACTGGAAACTTCCATTAATCAATTGGAAATAAAACTGTTTATACGCACAAAAAATTTTATAAATGGACGAATCTTGATATGATTTTCTCCTTGCATGCAATCTGATTTTGTAAGGTACTGTCATAACGGAAAATAGTATCTCCATAACTTGACTTCTATTGTAAACAAAATACGAAATTTGTCATGAACAAACAAAGCGAGTGTTTGTAATCTAAGGATTGTGACACCCCGAATGAATGTACTTAATATTTAATCATATCATATGGGTGTATTAGGTGTTCTTCGGAAATTAAACAGATAAAGGAAGCAGTAGCGACTTTAAGTTCACCCCATCATAGTGCTGTACACATTTCGTAAAGCTATACGTCTAACCATACTGACTTCCAATTTCCAAAAATGTTCTAATTTCAATAATTATATATATCCACAATCATGCAATATATGCTATATATGTTGAGTGGAGAGCCATACTTGTTTTTTTATACAAAATGTATGAATGAACTGTTAGTACATTTATAGTGTAAACAAATATAACGATGCGAATATTTGCACAGTGTTAGTAGCCATGGCTGAATGTCCGATAGCTATTAATTAATACTTGTCCCTAAGTCTTTACTATCAAAATACAAAACTGAACTCTTTCTTTGTTTATACAAACTAATGCAAATACTGTGTCTGATGAAATTCAATACATTGGTCCATTTATAAAATTTTATGAGCTTATTTGATGACACTTGAAACAGTTTAATTTCCAATTGATTAACGGAAGTTTCCAGTATTAAGTCTTTGAATTATTAATCAACTGATAATTAGTTAAATACTTAACATCCGAAACAAGTGTGTGTAAATGAAAAAAAAATACGGTCAAATACTTGGAATCGGGAAAATTAAAAAAAAGTGAAATGAATGTCCTTGTCTTAAATTTGTTTCATATTTAAATGATAAGGAGAACATTTGGGATAAAAGTAAACGTTAAAATTGTCCGTTGTTCTACTTCGCTTGAACCATTGTCAAAACTCATACGTAGGAGTTTTTTGTTTTGTTAATGACCTACAAATTATCTTTTACTGTTCTTATTTAGTTTATTCATTAAAAATTTATAGCCTTTGTAGTATGGTATCCGATTACCCCAATTATCTATCGTAAGCACACTTTTATCATGTATTTTTGAAAGGAAGTCTAATATTTACATTTCTGAATTGTTCATACACTGAAACATTATTTTGATAAATTGTGTTTAAATAACTTTTCTCAAATCGGAGATAATTAAAGGAAATGTTAAATAGAATGATATATAATCAATTATTCCTTCTCCCTGATGATATCAATGTGTAATTTCAGCACGCATTCAGCAATAATTGTCATGTTGATTTTGATGATCTTCTGTCAGGCGATTCTCATGTACTTTTATTTGTCCCTTCTTGGTTTCATGGAGGGTACTCAATGGTTACTTGCCGTCCGCCCGTCATTCCATCCGGAGCAGAAATAAGAGGTTAACCATGAGCCAAACAGTACCACAAAATCGATTGGTAATACTTGGAACATGTACTTAGAACAATATGGAGCTTTTATTCATCATAATCTTTTCCATTGTAATTACTATTGTGATGGAAATGGTGAATAAAATGAGATAGTTTTATGATTATTCGTTCTTACGTGGATAGATCATACGGAAACTATGCTCACCATTTTAATATTTTTCGTCGCAAATAAAATATGGTTGCTGTGGTTACCAAAAAAAAAGGAAGAAAAATAGAGATCCTAAAAAATTAAGTACAATTTATAAAGTTTATTGGTTTGTTTATGTTTTCTTCGCCGATTTTAACACATTAGCTAGCAAATTCCTGATCATATCTCGACGGTTGGTGCACATACCAGCTCGACGGTTGGTGCATATATCAGCTCGACGGTTGGTGCACATATCAACTCGACGGTTGGTCCACATATCAGCTCGACGGTTGATCCACATATCAGCTCGACGGTTGGTCCACATATCATACTCGATGGTTGGTCCACATATCAGCTCGACGGTTGGTCCACATATCAGGCTTCCCCGGATAACTTTTTAGCAATTATCATGCACTCCTCAAGTGACAGACTACTTATCACTCAGCAGTTAGAGATAAATGGTCATAAGACTCAATGTTGAAGATCGATTGTCTCGGAACAATTTCCTTTTGCATGATGATCAGATCAGCGACCTCTAGATTACTTACACGATGCTTATTATATTGCGCTAAACGGCAGACAGCTAAGTTGATGAAACTTCGAGTGTAAATCATGGACGATATAGCGATATGCCCTTCAGTAAAAAAAAAGATTTAACCAAAGTTATATAACAACGGAATCGAAAAAGAACATTCAAAAATTTTAGAAAAGACCATATACAGGTTATGAACGTCTATTTTGGTCATCAAACACAAAATGTGCATGCTATGGAACGGCAATAGTAAAAACAGTTTCTAAATTTACGTGGGTAATAACTTGGGCCTTGTAATTATTCATATTATGTTCATGCTAGGTCGGTCGAATGAACTAAGTATGTATGGAAAAGAGACTTTATTAAGATGATGAACCATATATGTTTTTAAAAAATGTGATCAGTATGACTAAATGATTACAGCAATAACAACAATAAAAGAGTGCGATCCTGTAATATCTAAACAATAGCACTTGCACTATTCTTTTAATTATTTCAAAAATAGAAAATTGACAGGACAAAGTTCGATCGTCCCTGTTATTTGCTGAGATAAATGCTCGATAAATGTAGGAAAGGGTAACATTGAAGTACAATTGACATTTAAAGCTACATAAAAGAATTTACTTAAACGTTGTCTGCTCTTAAAGTATGATAACAGAAACGTTTAAAGGAAAAAACTTAAGCGGCTGCCGACTTCATTTTCGAGTTACTACCTGGGGTGTCATTTTCCGAATTGAAGATCAATGGCCCATGTAAACGCCCATTTCTCTATGTCTATATGTAACCCTAAATTAAAAAGTCGATTTCCAGCTGTCTATCTAATTTTAGAATTTTTTATTCATTGAAACTAAACTTTTTCTTAAATATTGTCAATTAACAAAGTTTGCGTGACCGACTTCCGGTGAAATGATTATTTGTTTCATTATCTCTATTGTATAGGAATATTTCATTAAAATCATGAACAAAAGCACAGCAGTGATAGATATTAAATCTTATTTCCAAATGTATAATAATGATCTGGTCGCAAAGACTGCCATAAACCGGAAACATTTTGAAACCTCTTGTCAAGTTGAACAAGGTTCCTTCAAACCACTTTCCCCCTCACCGCTGTGGGTTCGAATCCCGACAGGGACTTTGGATTCTTTCATGTTAGGAAGCTATCCAGCTAGCTTACGGAACGTCGGTGGTTCTACTCAGGTGCCCGTTCGTGCCTGAAATAATGCACGGAAGGGCACCTGAGGTCCTCCTCCACCAGTAAAGCTGGAACGTCGCGATATGACCTATACTGTGTTGATGTGACGTAAAACCCAAAACAAAACGAACAAAATGAGCATGGTTCAAGAGACCCAGAGTCGAGTACCAAAAACAATAAGGTTTATCACGTTACATTGCTGTAGCTTACGATTCAAGGTTTCTAATTATATATATATATAACTTTTTTTTCTAAAACATATATTTTTAACATTTCCCCGAAAGGTATCTTTTGTTATCGTAGCGACTTTGACCGCCTGCTTTGAATTTAATAATATTTGCATGTTATAACGTTATAAGAACTTAATCAAATTGATATGATTTTTATAGCTGAATAGTATCAAATGAAATGAAATTAAAACATGTAATTACGCGAAACCAAAGGGGTAGTAACGCGAATAAAGGCCATTGAACTACTTTCAAATGAGCTTTGGGAAAAATATTGAAACGTTAATATTTTCAATCGCTAGTTGAAATTAAATGAAACCGATTTTCTCAATTTCTTTAATCGTTTGTCTTGAAAATAAAGTTTTTTTTAACAAGAACTTAAATAACCCCAGCATTTTATTTATGAATAACAGCTGAAAAATTATATATCATGTTTATTGACTTATATTGCAAGTCTGATGACGGTGAAAACTATTTTAACAAGAAAAAAATGAGCGTTTTTCGGGAGGGGGGGGGGGGGGTTAAAAAACGTGAAATAACGTTTGCATTTGTGGCCAAACTATGTACAAAGAAGATAAAACCCTCTCTGTCCAATATTTTACTGTTTTTTAAGCTTAAATCCAATTCTTGCCAACACTATGTGTGCTACGAATTTAAGGGTACGTATATGCGTCAGCTTAATTGCAACTTTTATTAAATAAACAAAATATTCGCGAAACATTGCAAAATCTCAAACAAACCAAATTCATGTACTCACGGTACATAGTAATACAAACAAGCAATGTCTACTAGACCTGTTCACGGAAACTATCTCAACAATATCGATACCAAGTAAATTGTCCTACGTTTTATGGTTCTCGAGAATTGAATGAAAATTGCAAATGCAGCTTTAGTAATCCACAGGAATAGGTATAATCTTTTACCAAAATAAATAAAGATAAGCTTTCTTTCTTCACTAAAGGACAATGAAGTTAGTATTGAAATTTGTACTAGAAGTCTCAGTTTTAAAAAAGATACTCGGCCGAAGTATAACTGCTTACTATGCAAATGTATGTTATTTTTAATTTTTATTACAAAAATAAATGATAGCAATGCTTGCATAACAATGTTATGATAATTTTTTCTTATAGCTATTAATATTTTGTACACATTGATAATAAATCATATTGATATTTGTGATTTTTCGAAGAAGAACAACATCTTTTTAAGGTGTACGTTTTACTTGTTTGACTATATACATTGTGTTATCATTTACAAATTAACGTTAAAGTTAAAAGACCTATCATCATTCTTGTACATTTTATTTTAGAACTATCCTTTACAGTGTCTATTCTAGGATTCAAAGAGGGGAGAAATTTTAATCTTTATCTATGTAAAATACCCCCCCCCCCCCCGCTTCTGAAAAAATAGGGAGGAATTCTCAAATATATGAGTGAATCCCCTATCCCCCATCCTAGAAGAGACACTTCCTTTACATTTTTTTTAGAATTGTCAGAACTGTCTTTTACATTTTATTTTTAAGGTGATACTTTTATGACAATTAAATAAGAAAGGGGAGGTTGACTTTTGAAGTCTTATCTGTGATATGCAGGTCTAATAGCATCTGATCAACTATCAAATACTATGGCTTTCTCCCTAACTCTCGAATAGTGTCGCATTGAAGGTTTTTCATAATGACCACTGTATAAATATAACTGCAACTGTTTCTAAATTCAAAATGTCAAATCTATCAGAATTTGTAAGAGAATTGATTAACGGACAAAGAAGGCGGGACAACTCCACAATTATAAAGGTCTATATTCACTGTAGAGTTATCTCAAATACGTGCACAATTCATATTAATACCTTCTGTTATACTATATGCGATTGTTTAACATTCTGGCTATCATAAGTACGGAAGCATGGAGAGGACATAGTTGATATATTTTAATAATCTGTGGGAACAACTTATTTGTCGAAGTATTTTTTATTAATCTGTGGGAACAACATGTTTTGTGAGAAAAATCTTTTTTTATTCTGTGGGAACAACATATTTTGTGAGAAAAATCTTTTTTTTATTCTGTGGGAACAACATATTTTGTGAGAAAAATCTTTTTTTAATCTGTGGGAACAACTTATTTTGTGAGAATTTTTTTTTTATTTTGTGGGAACAAACTATTTTCTGCTATATTTTTTTTCAATATCTTGTTCCCTAAAGATAATAAGTTGTGCGAACAAATTAATTATGTTGTTCCCACAGAATAAAAAAAGATTTTTCTCACAAAATATGTTGTTCCCACAGAATAAAAAAAGTTTTTTCTCACAAAACATGTTGTTCCCACAGATTAATAAAAAATACTCCGACAAATAAGTTGTTCCCACAGATTATTAAAATAAATCGACTATGTACTCTCCATGCATGATTACAATTGTGTGCAAATGGCGACTTTTTTAAAAGGGACTTAACTTTGCAGTCACTCTTTGTGGCAATCGCTATTTTGATTGGTTGATTTATGTTGTGGGAACAACATAATTAATTTGTTCGCACAACTTATTATCTTGAGGGAACAAGATATTGAAAAAATATCGCAGAAAATAGTTTGTTCCCACAGAGTAAAAAAAAAGATTTTTCTCACAAAATAAGTTGTTCCCACAGAATAATTTTTTTTTTTACTCAAATTAAGTTGTTCCCACAGAATAAAAAAAGATTTTTCTCACAAAAGATGTTGTTCCCACAGAATAAAAAAAGATTTTTCTCACAAAATATGTTGTTCCCACAGAATAAAAAAAGATTTTTCTCAAAAAACATGATGTTCCCACAGATTAATAAAAATATTTCGACAAATAAGTTGTTCCCACAGATTATTAAAATAAATCGACTATGTCCTCTCCATGCTTCCGTACATAAGAGATATTTACAAGTTAAATCATTATAAAATATTATTTTATTAAAATAATACTTAAGCTTCTTTAAACTAGAAGCTAAAACATTAAAAGTAAATTTCCTGATTGTTTTTCCTAAAACGACGCATTATTTGTTATTGTGCAAAACGCTACAACACAGTGGTTTATGTTACAGTTTGTTTTGCATATAGATCATCTCTGGGCATATCTAGGGTTGTATAATAAAAGAAATAACAGTTGATCAGTTTCAGTCATGATATTTTAACTGGATTTATACTACAAATTGGAATTTTTTGTGTTCATTTTCTTTCCTGCTTCCAATAAACAAGCTTCGTCTTTTTTGTCCTTCTGACAAAAACACCACCTATATCCGAGTGATCTATGAGGATATGACATCAGCATAACTCTGCATTTGAACTTCTTATACATTTTTAGGCAAGTTAAAATAAATCCTAAGATCTCTACGAATAATCTCATTCTCTCTTTATCTCATTTTGCTTTTTAAAAATATGCTAATTCATGATTCAGTAGGTTCATGTAATAACTTTTAAATCTTATATAGTCATGATACATTGCAGTTAAAGGCCCATTATGCCTCAGAAATGCTATCATTTTGTTTGTTTGTTTTCTTGTGACATTTTCAAAGGAATATTCATTTGCCATATAAATTACTCTTTTCCTTTATGACAATTGGCAATTATAGTGAATTAATTTATTGTATGGAAGTCAAAATATTTGTTTGTTCACATGCCCATCCTTAAGACACATTATTGCACATATTACACTGTTAAACGTGTAACATGTTCTATACCCTTCACAAAATAACATATGTTTGACATTTCTAAAGAATTTAATAAATACGGAATCTGATATATAATGTGCCTTAAAGAGTACAAAAGCTTTGGATTGTTCAATAAAGTAAGGTTCCTGTCACGTGTCACATTTTGCAACAGCATTTGGTATACATTTCACGGTACCAAAAAATATCTAATTGTTCTGTGAGAAATGTAAGTAGTAAATATTAAGTACCCAAATAACCTTTAAAATATTTTTCTATTGCTTTGTAAATTTAAGGGGTCTCATTTCTTAGTTGTCAATTGTTTTTATTTATTGGTACGCCCACTCCATGTCCCAAATTTTGTATCGTCTCCTGTTTTTGTTCGGTTCCCTAATGAGTACCTCTGAGGTAGTCCAATGTGACTGGATTTTGTTATATAAAATGTTAATACTAGCATTTAGAAAATCGGAAAAGATAGACATTGAAATGTCGCTGTCTTTCATATATAATTACTGTTACCATCCGCCATAGCAAGAATAAATCTGAAACATATGTTTGTTTTAATTGTCTTGACATGGGAGTTATGTAAAATATGTCAAATTTTTCATTTTTATTTTATATTCATAATTGAACTATTAGTATTTATGCATTTAACTTCCGAATTAGCTTACATTGAAGAGGTCTTTGTAGAATAATCTCCCATTTGCGTCACATCCTATAAGGAAAGTCGCTCTTCCTCGATGATAATCGTTGAAATGAAAGGGTCTATGGTATATTAACATTAAGAACAATGTAGAAGATGAACTTTCCGAGGGATCACACTTTTTCCAGATTTTATCATAATCTGAGTGCTATATTGCCGGTATGATGCCGGGTTCATTAGACACATGTAATGTCTAACGTTTGACTAGTATAATAATTATATAAATAATATTGTCAGATGCAATAACAAGGATGTGTCATTTCAATGTGTTAATTTAAAGATAAAGTAGTTAGCTTTATATATAATCATACAACACGTCAACACGTCACAACAATTGATCTTGTTTATGTGTTAGGCAAATCAAGATTCTATGTAGTTTTGTTGATGTTGTTTTTTTCTTTTGTGTTATTTTTGTAAATTCATTGATGTTATATAATTATATATGTAATTGTATATAGATGTATTATTGATACATTGCAATTCTTTGTGTATTATATGTAAAATAGGTTTAGTAACACGATGATTATAAAGGCTATACATTTGTAAGTTTCAAATCATACACTGGTCTTACTTGTATCAAGTTTGAAGCTTTATATGTGTTCAAAGTATAGTTTAGAAGTAACATTTGTTTTGTTTTGTTTGTATAATTTCAATATTTTGTGCCATATTACTATTGCAATAAATTAAAACCATATAGCTTAGATTAGTAAATGTAATACAAAGACCAGTGTATGGAAGAGAATTAAAAGTATACTATGTAATAGATGCTGACAATGTCTCTCCCGTGATTGCAAGCCTAATACATACACGAAGTATTTCTTATTATTATATATTTGAATGTAGAATCTCTCAAAAAGTAAATAACTTGTAAATTAAATATATAATCAATTGTAACCATTATAATAATGAAAGAAAAGAAATACTTGCAGTCACGTCATCTTGCTATGTAATTAGTTATTTACTTATGCATACATGTTATTGTATATATTATGAATGCTTGTATATGACTCTTTTGAGAGTTAATTTGCAAAATAAAGATTCTTCTTCTTCTTATATTTGAAGTCAGCAGTATATTTTACTCTAAATAGATATTGTTGCATTTCATTTCATTTTCAAACGATTATTGATATGATTAATTTGAATATTGCAGTTTCTGTTGAAAATCTTAAATACTTTAGCAATGCTTATCAAATGATGATTTACAAATTCAGATTTCTAACATTACCAAGCATTCTTTTCATAACAACCAATCATTCTTTTTATAACGAATACTATAAAATGAAAAGTAATCTCACCCAATATATGTATTTATTTTCAATGTTACTAATGATAATGTTCACACAAAGAAAAAACACACAACAAAACAAAAAATTATGTCAGTGTATGAAAAAATGGATTGACTACAGAAAAAGAATAAAAGTGACTTCTATGTGCGATATGTACATAATGTAAATAATAGTTTGTAGCTCTTGTTGAAAAATAACATATTATAAATGGTATATATAAGATATATTGTCAGCACACGTAATATAATATTTTAACGCACAATATCTTATTGATATAGTCTTCCAATCCAAATTATGATTGATATTATTTTTATGTACAATCTTATAACTTAAAGACTTTATACATTGCTAAAATACCATAATGAAATTCTAAACTTCATTGCAATTGATTAAGATTTTTATTAAAACATTATCTAACAGATAACCATAGAAAAATGTCAATTCAATCGTATTTATAAAAATACAATTTCTGTATTTTTTCTTCAATTTGTATTCATTAGTTTGGTATTTTTACCAACTTAACCTTGACTTCTATGATAATTGGCGTTATTTATAACATTTTTATCAATAAGCTGTTAACTTTGGATTAAGTACAAGTCAATATTACTTCGTACAATTTTCCTTGTTTTTTCATATTATTTTATATCATGATGACATTTATTGAATTAAGCATTTTCTGCCTCAGAAACATTCTCCTTCGAACCTTTAAAATGACTGTCTTTTACTTTGTCGACAAGTGTTTCGTCATCTTTTAAGCAATCCTGAGGCCCGTTATCATCACCAAATGCATGATTTTCATTTTCGTTTGAGCTGTAATCCGAGTGTTTTGTTGACATCTGACTGTCTGTTCGGCTCTGTAATTCATCAGTGTCTGTTTCCGCATCTGCTTCGTTCAAAATATCGTCAATTTCGTCCTCATCGACTGTCGTTTGTTTTGAATTTCTCAAAGGATTGCTGACACCACTGAACGGAAAGGGGAAAGCATATGGTTTATTGCCTGTCCCGTAATCACTTGGGTCAAGGATATGCAATGCCATGTTTGGCGGAGGATGACTTTGATCCAATTTCGCATCCGTTGAAAATGGAAGTGGCGGTAAACTCTGAAGAAGTTGATGCTTTCCCTTCGAATTAATAATCTCGACGTCTTCATTGTCCACCGGAACATGTTTATTGACCGATGTGCATTTGTTTGTCATATTAAATGGAATATTAATAACGGGGAATGGGTTCCTTATGGTCTGTGTTATGTAGTCATCTGGTTCAGTAAACTCTTCCATACCAGCCTCTATATATATAATAGTCTCATCGTTAATAATTTCTTTCGATTGTGCATCATTGTGTCTTTGTTCATCGGACTCGGTTCTCTGGTCTGCGGTTTTGAATTCGGTATTTACTTGAATACCAAACTGTTTTGATTCAGTCGCAACGTCTCCAACAGCAATTTCATCTTTACGTTCTTGATTAGAACAGTTGATAGTTTGGACTGAAGTTTCATTTTGAAGATTTGTTTGGCTTGATTTTAATTGGAATGGAATTTCCGGGGATGAAATACCAAAGGCTTGTAATGATTGTCTAGGTGGTAATGAAGTGGATGCAAAAGAACGTTTCCGATGATTTGACTGAAAGGGTATTACCTTAGTCATAGAACTGTCATCGTTGCGAACCGATACACAACTATCTGAAATACAATTATATATCATAAATCAGAGTATAAAATCAAATATTGATACGCTTATTGATATTGCTTAATTACGAGGGTGCATCAATAAATTCGTAAATTCAATAGCGTTAAAACTACAGGTCCATTTAAAATGAAACTTTTAAACCTGTGAATTCAAAACAGATTATTTCAAATTGAATCGTACTATGTACACAACTTTGACGTCATCACTTATAAAGTCATAAACCAGAAATATCGTCAAGTTACGGGCGTCCGTCCGAAAATGGCGTCACACAGCGTCAACGTACAGCGTATCATTCTAAAGGTTTACACAAAACTCGGAAAGCCTTTTTACGATATTCGCGAAGATTTGCAAAAAAATTACGGAGAGGCTGCTCTGTCAAAAGGTGCAATTTCAAATTGGATGAAGCAGTTTAAAGACAGTAGAGAGACAACTTACGACGACAGTCATGCAGGTAGACCAGTGAACAGATGAAGAAACAATGGGTGCCATTCAGGAGTACATTCTCTGAGATAAACGAGTAAGTGTGGAGCACGTAGCAGCTAAGTGTGCTATTTTATATAGTACAGCTCAGGTATTATGACTGATTGATTAGGAATGTGCAGTATTTTAGCAAGATGGATGCTTCGTTTTTTGACGTCGGAGCAGATGGGAGTGAGGGTGAAAATGTGTCAGCAGTACGACAGAGAATATCGTGAAGAAGGCGATTACTTCCTAAATCAAGTGATTACATGTGATGAAACGTGGATTCACTTTTTTGAACCGGAAAGCAAACGTCAGAGTTCAGTCTGGAAGCATACTTCCTCTCCTTCCCCTACAAAAGCGATAATTTCCAAGTCAGCCGGGAAGGTTATGGCCATTATATTATGTGATACATACGGTGTAGTACTAAACCACCTTTTCCTCCGAAAACAACAGTTACTAGGAACTATTATGCAACATAACTTAGAACGGAACTCATGGCGCCAATAAGGAGAAAACGCCCACATTTACCTAGGTCCGGATTCATATTTCATCACGACAACGCACCGAGCCATGCAAGGCACGTTGTCGTAGATACACTAAAAAAATCGACGTCTCGAAATGTTAACCTACCCACCCTACAGGCCGGATCTAGCACTTTGTGACTTCTTGCGGTACGAAATATGCGTCAAGAGAGGGACTGAGGTGTGCCATGGACAGACAGCTGTCACGTAACGGGCTACAACACGTGTTTGAGTCATGTGTTGAGAGTTGGGAGAGTGCAAATCGTGCATTGGACCTTATTTTGAGAAGGAGTTATCATTTAGGTACTTGAATCAAATCATTCCTCCGCTGTTGACTTTGTTTACAAATTTATTGATGCAACCTCGTATTAAAAAGAAATATCTGTATTTCAATTGTGTCGTTTTGTGCGTTCTTTAAGAATTTTCTTTTTCTCGTCTCGATATTGTCATATTCAATTTAAAACTACATGTGTACTTGTATTCGGAAAAGACTGTTTGGTTATTTTTAGAACTTAAATCATTTTCGGAAAAACATATACCATGTCTAAAACGTACCATCTGCTCATCCATTTTTCCATAGTGCAGTTGTGAATGATAGAAATACTTAAGTCAGGTCAACACTTTTGACAAGGTACTTGAATTTATGGTCAAAAGAGTGGGTGCGGATTGGATTAAATTCACCAAAAATAACCTAGTCGAGGTTTTTGTTCGTAGCGTTTCAACAGAGAGCTGAACCTTTTTATTTCATTAATCAAAAAGCATTGAAGCAGTTTTACTAACCAAAATATGTACATATTCCGTACACAAAACATTCTGAACACCAAAAGAACGTTATATATAGGCGGTAGGGTTAATTGCTTACGTGTAAAGGACAAGAGGGCCGTAGAGGTGTTGTGTAAGGGGTGGGGGCACAATTAGAAACAAAAGGAAAATGAGATACTAATTATCGACGTCAGATACAATGAGGGACACAATATATTATGTGTCACCATAATTTGCATGTAGCACTAAACAACGCATACACCTTAGGAACACAGAAGTTGTGGTCTTGTTTTAGCTAGCAGCCCTCTGACGTTCCTGATAATATTTTTACTTTACAAAATCTTTGAAATTTTACCTGTTACCGCCGAATTTTGTGTTTTCGTTTTTTTGACAATTAAGAAAACAATTGCCACACACAGAAGCACACCGAAAGTAACAGAAACCCCGATAATTATTGGTCGGATATTTAGCTTATCGGTTGATTGCGTCAGTGATTCTCCTTCGTCTCGAATGAAATCATCTTCTGTCTCATCAATCGCATAACCTTGTTCGCCGGATACACGGAAACCACTCGCAACTATAATAGAAATAATATTTGAGACAGGACCCTTATTGCCTGCATCGTCGATAGCACGTACAGCAAAGAAAGTGGTTTCTACATATGAATGTTCTGCATTTACAACAAGTTTTAACGCTTCTCTCGTTCCAACAACTTGTGGGAATATACTATTAGTTGAATTCGTCGAATTTATGTGCTCCGCAGATTCAAAATTGTCACGTAGAGTACCAATGTCACTTGCAATTCTCATTTCGTATGACGTGGCTGCAATAGAAATTAACATATGCATAAAGTATTCATTGCGATTAAAAGCAATAAATATACAACAACTGGATGACATTTAATCCTGCTAAATCTTTATTAAGTTGCTAACTTAATTTAAACATGCTATTTTCAATGCAACTCTTATTTTGCCTGTTGTAGTTCTGATATTCTTTCATCTTATGTATATCAAACACAATTTAAAAAAAAATACCTTGTCCCTGGTTTTTATCATCTCCTGTTGCAGTCCAAGTGATTGTTAAGTTTCTGTTTTCTCCATTTTCTTTTGTTTCGGTCTCGATATTATTAATTTCGACATCTGTTATCATGCCTGGTGCTATAGTGTCCACTGAATCATCATTTATATAGTTTGATATATAAAGTTCCTCTGTTACAACATTTCGTTGAAAGGAATCAACAATAGTTTCCTCTATCAATGTGTCATCTGAAATTTGTGCAATTTTGAATTTGTACCAAAATGACTTTTGCCACTCCAAGTGCTCAAATTCCTTAAAGTATGAATTGTATTTGATTAATAAGCATACGTTCCGTAAATACCTACTTAAAGGAACCCAACCATACTTAAAATACCTCTACTGAAGTATTTTTTTGCCATGATTGGATTGAAATAGATTACAATATTAGATTTCCAGTGATATAGGTCTACACAAACAGATTGTGTGCGAAATTTAGATCATTCGCTCATTCTGTTTTGCCGTAACACTTAATGTTCTTGTTAAAAAAAACCCGAAAATTGAAAAGCTTTGCAACACTATTCACTTAGATCGAGCAAAGTGTAGCACAAAAGTACGGTTTCCTAAATAATTTTGAATTTATTTCTGAGTTTTTAAATACACATCTTCCTATTTTAAGTGGCTCAGTTGATCTCTTTAAGAAATTCAAATTTAATGTTTTTAATTTAATGTGGACTTCAGATGAATTCCTATATATACTTTTTTCCTGTTTGTTTTCTGTTTTGGACTTCCATCTCATTTAATGTAAACGAAAATCAGACGGATTTGAAGATGACGATAAAAGAAGGGTCAACAGTATTAAAGTCCGTAATTGACATTACTTGGAAATGATCACAGGACAAACATATGTCATACTTGGAGAAGATAAGAATAGGATTGCCAACATATAACAAAAGTAACTTTATATCATTAGGTAAGATATTTTTATCAGTATCTTGTTTGTTGTCAACGGTTGGAGGTTATTACCCGGTATCTTCTGAATCAATGAGGTAATAAAAGCGGCAAGAAGGAAAATAATCTGGACGAGTGATTAACAGATAGCATCATCATCATAATCATCATCATCATTATCATAATCATCATCATTATCATCCTCATCATCATGAATTTATACTTCGTAACACGTTTCAACAGAGAGCTGTGATTGATTGCATGAATTAAAAATTATATAATATTTTTTTATCACTATAATTTTTATCACTATAGTTACTATAATAAGTATTTGTTAAATATGGCTTAGTTTTCATTTTTGTTATTTCTTTTGTTTGACAGAAATTAGTCACAGTATTCTGAAATATTGTTTAATTGCTACTAAACAATGTAACTTACTTGCATCTTGAGGTGCAGAACCTGTATTACTGTACAAAAGAAATGTTTCTCCATCCTTGCCAGATGCTTTAACTTTGATCTGTACGCGTCCAGATCCTAGGCAGCCGGGTAAAATGTAACAAGAGTAAGTTCCGTCATTTTTCAGGCGGTCCGGGTCTTTAATTAAAATATTGATACATTAAGAATTATTATTCATTTACATATCATCTGTACTATAAGTTAATTATGTTCCAAGAACATATACCGAAATAAATTCATCAATTTATTGCTTTTTATGTATTGTCAAAAGCTGATAAAACTGGGTAGAATCATGAATTCTAAAAATAACATTTGAACTAAGAAATGGATCTCTTAGACACTTTTATAAGACAAAATATGAGAGCAAAGATAAACAAGGTTAGGTTGCATTAAATGACCGCATGTCCCAACAAAACCATATCTCACGGGACCACAATGAAAGGGGCCGGTGACAGTCATGTATAGTTTTATAATTACTGACGTGAATAAGGCTAAAATAGTTTTTTAATTGTAATGAAATGTCAGTCACATTTACTCATAACAATGCACATGTCAAACATGTTAATTAACTTTTGTATTAGAAACATTTGATCTTACCAATGCCATTGTCGGACATATGTAGCGTACAAGGAGGATTTGTGGCTGATTCGGCGGTAGCTGTTACCGTTACATTTATTACTGGGGCGTTACTTTTTGTGACATCTGCAAAGACTACCGGCAAATCCTCAGATGATAAGTCAACACTAGATTTTGAAAGTCTTGATACTACACGTACGACGTCATTGGTCGTGTTAGTTGGTGACGACGTCACATGATACTCGATATCCTGTTCAGAGGCTGAGGTGTTGATTGTCAGACTATATTCGCCAATCTTTTAAGAAATCGAATTGAAATAACGTTAATTATCTACATTTTTTTGCGGTTTCAAAGATGCAAAATGGTTTAAATGATTTTAATTTCATAACACGATAAACCAAACCCGTCCCGTTGTATGCTTTTAATTCCTGTTAACAGCTGATGACCATCTGTTCTCTCTTCTTTCGAACAGGAAGTTTGATTGGGTTCTGCATTTTGTAAATGTTGATTTGATAAATTACTTCAGCAATGACTATATACTCTTGAGCTAAGTACAAGGCAATTGTATATCTATGTTTATACTGGTTTAAAGTGTTATCTTGTTTTTAATTATACATGAAACAGCATGTATCGCCAAAATAAGATCGAAACAATTTCGTTACAGTTTAAACAGAAGAAATACAATACCTCGGCTATATCATCAATTCTTATAGTAGCACTGTTTCCATAGTCGCTCACTATTTTAGTGAAGTTTGCTGGACCATTTAGTTGTATATGTATGTTGTCATCTACTGATGTTAACACTGTTACAGATGTATTTTTACCTAGGCCAGTTTCTATTGAAAATGTAGTGTTTGCTACATTATGAGAGATTTTCTCCGAAAGTAACTGCAAAATAATATATAAAATACATAAAAAGCTCTCATATTTAGTTTTAACCATCATTCTAAAATCTCAATTCCCGAATTTCTGTTTAAAGGTGACTTTATGTGCAGGGTGTAATGAAGCTATTTAAAACAATTCATTTGTTCAAGTCATGCTCAGGTGAGTATCCTTGTAATCACCAATGATTTTCTACTTAAAAAGACTGATTATTTAATGTTTTGTTTTAAATAACGAATGAAATAAATTAATACACAAAACGGGAAAAACTATTGAAATCTGAAAAAAGATCCCTCGAAAGCATTTATTACCACATAATTACAATTGTGCCTGTACATGAAAGATCATGAAAAATTGCAACCTCCCTCACACCCCAAGTCACCGACATAAATATTACTCAGTTTCTAACACCTAAAGTGCTGGAATAAATGATCCAGAAAGACATGAAAATATAAGAAATACTGAAGCAAAGTACGGGGAAAGTAATGAATAAATTTCATACCGTTACAGATTGACTAGCCGCTAAAGTTACAGTGTCTCCTCCCGATATTGCTTCGTTGAAAACCGCTGCAAAGCTAAAATTTCCATTTTCCAAATATGTGAAAGACTTTCCTCCAGTTTCCGCGGCGATATCAGAAAGGAGTGTGTCTGCTTGCTGGGAAACAGCTATTGTATTGATCTTAACTTTGGCATTGATAGCATTCATTCTAGCCAAATCAAGAGTTCCCTCATTGTTTCTTCCATCTGATATGAGAATTATTTCGCCATTTTCAGGTATAGTTAGTTCATTTGAAAACATCTGGAAAAAAAAGCTTTGCAATATTTGGATAACGATAAGCAACAATTAATTGACAAAGTAGCAATAACAAAAAATTTGACCTGGCTGTTAACTGTATTTAAAACATCATGATAATTATCCGCCTTATTTGATTCGTCTGTCAGAGAAACTGTTGCTAAGAATAAGCATAATAGAGCGTGTTTACATGGTCAACTGTAAATGCAACAATCTTATACGAGCTCGTATTTCATTTTGTGGCAATTACAACAACCACTTTTATTTCGTTATTGGAACACATATTATCAGGGCGGGGGGAGGGGGGTCAAACGTTTAGATGTTGATAGAAGTAAGTATGTTAAAAAAGTTATATATGGTAAATTGGCAGAGTCTAATTTGCTGCGAAAAGGTCATAAGATCAACCGTGAGTATCGTGAATATAAGATGTTATTTTACTTAAAACTTATGCAGATACTTATTTTTGAAATCCATAGCATACAATCAGAGGCACTTATAACCCGACACTTACATTTCTCGGTATAACTTGGTTATTTGTGAACGTAATTTGTTCAGTTTTTGAACATGCAAAATACAACATACCGGTATCATACTTATTTCCTAGAATTTTATTTCTTATTCATTACAAGAAAGTAGTGAAAAAAAACAACAAATATGTAACTGCAAAATAAAAAATCATAAAATGACTGTAAATATCGGAACACAATGAAAAGTCTCTAAATCAAACTGATTCTGTGTAATAACCATTTCTAATACTTTCTGTGTCATTCAATGGCTATAACAAAGTGTAAAAACCTGTCTCATGGTTATAACCTAGTGAAGGCTTCGGGAATATTTCTCCATTCCTGAATAAAGGCTTCCTCGAGTTCCAGCAACTCCTGCATTCCAAGTCACCAGATTTAACATCACACTTGTCGGCTGAATTGAACAGACGTGTGAGAAAGCGGCCAAAAGCTCCCCTCAATTTGCTGGAACACGAGTAAGTCCTCATTTAGGAATAGAGAACTGTGAGGCAGATGTGTTTACTTTGTTATATACAATTGGGAGGAAATACAAAGTGTTAGAACTTATAAATATATAGATTTAATAGAAGACAGAGACTGTTCATTGTCTTACGATTTTTACAGTCATTCTGTGACTTTTCATTTTACAGAAGCCTATTTATTTTGCTATTTTTTTCTATTTTCTTATAGATGAATTGTATGCATATGTGGAAAGATATATATTGACGTATTGCTGTCAAAATACTGTGTACGATGGGTTTTGATGGAAAGAATTAGATAATTTTGACAGTGCTTAAAACTATCTAAAATTTTATACTATAAATTATCTTCTTCGATTGATTTAAGATCTTTCTTAAAATTTGTTCTCTTTCTTCTTTGTTGCGCAGGGTATTTATCTTGTTTATACTTAAAAATACATAATTCAGTCACTTTCCTTTATTTCAAGAATTATATTCTCTTAAGCTGGGATCTTTGTGATATGTTTTTTTTTTAATTTTAAGATTTTCTCCCTTTTCTTATAATAACCTTAATTTCTATGCAGTTTATAAAAGTGCAAAATAGAAATTTCATTTTACAATCTATATTCACTCCCATTATTTATTTCTGACATTTGAATTTTTTCGTATTGAATAGATAAATTATTAGTCAAAACTGCGTTTACAATCTGCTTAAATCAAATATATTAATTTTGTGAAATAATGCAGAATCCGTGAACTTTATATCAGGACACCTGGAACAGAAATGATAAGAAAGGGGTTTTGAGACGGGGTGGAGAAAGGATACGTCGATTGGGTTGCAATCCGATCCGTTTAAATGTGTTACAAGGTTGCAAAAGGACAACTATTGCTTTGATCAGTTGTAGCGTGCTACCAACTTCATCGAAAGAAAGAACTTAGTAGTTTTGATAATTTAAAAAAACCCATCTCAAACAATTATGTCCTTGAAGAAAAGGGAGCTATTTTGCGATTGTTTTCAATCTAAATGTACAATGTCGTGATACAGTTGGTTATCGCATTGTAATTTGAATACTATGAACAATTGTTATATAGTAAAACTAAAAGTAAACGTCTTGTTGGCGTTTGAGTTTTTATATTACTTTCTAACTTTTAAAATCATGATAAAATCTAAATGAATTGTTTTCTCACTCAATGTCTTGCTGACTGGTAGTATGTAATAATATTATTATTATAATAATAATCATCATCATATAATACTTCGAAGACAGTGAACATCTTTGATATATATATAGCTCAATATTGCATTGGCCTAAAGCTTAGATTTGATAAGGAGGGTAGACTGCCTATGGATAGTACATGACCCTTATCTATGTTAACGGTGTTGTAGATCAAAGGCAATTGTAACCATTTAAATGCATGATATGTGTTTTTTTTATTATCTGGTCAATACAATCATTGAAAGATGTCCTAAACAATACACCTTCCTGTTTAAAAAAGGATAAGAAATCTTACTTGTATGGCCAAATTAATACCACATCCAATGCAGGTGAAACCATCAGCATTTGTAGGTAGGGCATTTATCAACCTATCACGATCTTCCTGTGAGTTTAACTGTGTTAATTCTATATTTCTGTAAGCAAAGCTATTAAATGTCACAATTCCCAACCAACTTCCAACAGCAATCCTCTGCCGAATGATATACTCTCCTGCTTGCTTCAAAAGTGCAATTCTGTTACCCTAAAATAGTTTGAAAAAAAAGAACTTCATGTTTTTGTTTAGATATACTAACACAAGCGAGTTTCTCTGTTAAGATTAGTATATAGAAATAATAAGAATGACTATAACACTTTTATACCTGCATTTTTAGTTATTTGAAGTTTTATTACATATAAAGCATAATATTCAAAATCGATCTGAGCATTGGTATTTGGTGATAATATCAAGTTTCTTGAATTTATTTTTATGTAATACATTGTAATAACGTAAATAAATCGGTGGCTGATTTGTGCCATTTATGTTTTCGTTCCGCTACCCCGCCTATCGAAAAGCCGAGAATTAACAAGTTAAAATGACGGGGTTGCGGAGCGAAAAGTGGCTAATTAGCGAGGCGTGGGACGAAGTTACATTAAAAAAAAACACCTCGCCCCCCCCCCCCCCCCCTGGGTCGCGGAGCGAGATTTAAAAAATTAACAGTGGGGGCGCGGAGCGAAAATATGCTAATTAGCGCCCTCGCTATTTAGCGTGTTTTTGCTTTGCTCCCCCTTCTCATTTTAACTTTTTAATTCTCGACTTTTGCTTGGCGGGGTTGGGGACGAAAACACACTTATAAGCTGGGCGCGGGACAAGTTTATTAAATAAACATTCGCTCCAACCCCCCGCCCCCCAATTAACGTGTTTTCGCTCCGCGCCCCCGCCGTTTAAACTTATCAATTCTCGACTCTTCGCTTGGCGGGGTCGCGGAGCGAAAACGCAAATGGCACAAATCAGCCACCATAAAAAAGTATTTTAAAGGAAAAATAAAATTACATCCATGCTTCCAGAAACGTCCAGCACAAATATTCGGAAAATGTCACCTTCTTGGATGAATTCAAATTCTGGAGTTGTATTTGTAGCACTTGGAAATGTTTCTGGACCTTTGTAAATAATTGAAATATTAACATCAATTTGAAAAAAAAAAAATTACCACTATATTAAAGGAAATGTTTTTATTATTGACTTAATATGATGACAAGATATAATTGAAGTAACATTCTTTCTGTTGTTAAAAACTGCACTGTTACGTTGTTTTAGTATCAATATGGTCATTTCTGATGTGTATAATTAAAAATACAATTACCCCGCCGAGTACTGTATATTATTACTTCCACAACAACAGGAGACATAAGGGTTTATTTATATATTTATCATGGCATGCACATTTCCTTTTAGTATTGATGGTTCACATTGAGTCTTGTTGAAATAAAAAACAAGCAGTTGCAAAGAAATATCAATATTGTTCTTTATGCATTCTGCACAACTTATAGAGGCTTGAAGGAAGGCGACGATATGCACGTCTCCCCTTATTATTGATTGTACCAATAAAGTTTCTATGGAATCCAGCCAGTAGTTGCAGAGAAAAAGCCTGGACTCCGAAAAGATTATTGCTATATATGCATACTGCATACCTAATCAAGGACCTTAACTCTGTCTTGAAAGGTCTGACCAGAACAAGACGACGATGATATTAGTATCTCCTCTTGGCATTGAAGGTTCCCTTAAAGTTACGTTGAATTTCAACCAGTAGTTGCAGAGAATTAGCGAGGAAACAAAATTCGTACGGACAGATGGATGGACGGACGGGCAACGCCAAAACATTACCCCCCTCGCGATTCCATCGGCGGAGATAAATAAAATGATTTAATTAAAATGTCAGACAGAATATATACAAATGAAGGTTCAAATACACACAATTAAGGTATAAATTACCGAAGGAGTAATAAAGCAATATACGTAAAGATGCCTACAAATACATAGAGGATATTTGTTTGTTTTGCATGTAAGATTGAAATATAATTTCACTGAGTGAACACCAGATGTAATATTTTCACGAGTTGCGTAGCCACGAGTTAAAATATAATAGCTGGTGTTCACGAATGAAATATATTTCAATCTTATATGTAAAACAAATAAATTTTCTTTTTATTTCATGTTTTTAAGTGATTTTAAGTATTTTTTTTATTGATTTTGCCGCGCAACGTCACGCGTTCTCCTTTGTGACGTAATCACATCATGGCGTCATATCATCAATTTTGAAATATAGGTCTGTTAAATTTCTCTAATTTTGTTACATTTTTAACATGATGTATGATGACATCGACTTTCTTTTCCTAAAGAAGCAAAATTTACACATGATGGCATTTATTTCTACTTGTTATTCCATTTAGTTATGATTTTCTTTTCATCCGCATTCAGATATAGTCCGGCTACAGTGAAAATTATATTTTATAAATTTCACTAGTTGTTTATGAGAATGTAATCATCTGATATATTACAATAAAACACTGGAAAGCATGAAATAAAATACCCATATGCCATTTCATTTGGACTGCAATCCATTAATATAGTCCGTTGAACTTCCTTATGCATTATATGACACAACTTTACCCAAGCAGAATTGTTTACACTTTAGAGAATAATGTAACATTGGGTTGAAAGAAAAATGGGATTTATTACGTACTATTCTTAAAATCATCATGTTCTCTCATTACCTCCCATGCACTTTTGCCGTTACAAAATTTATTTTGTGCGTTAGGTGCTATGCTATTATGGCGTTGATGCTCCCTGACAGACTCTTCATCTTTGTCGCAAAACATTGTGAGCTGGTACAAATCAAAATAAAACATATGCTTTTGGTAATGTGTCTGAGTTAGATTTTAATATATTATCATTTCAAAGAAAATATAGATAAAGGATCTATATGTGTGAATAGTTTAAGTGTAAACATTGGGCGGTTGTCTTTATTCAATTTACCGCCAGAGGTTTTGTAAACACACATACCAGTACATATTGAATCCATATAGTATTGAGAATCAACATTTCGTGTAAAGATTAGTAATTTTTGGTTTATTGAATGTTTGGACAATGTTATGTTTATGTTAGACTAATGTTTCTGAAGCGAACGCAAAGGTTCATGTTCTTTGAAGTGGAAATTAGTTTTATTTTGACCTCAATTATAATAATCATTAACGATGCTCTGTTTCACGTAGTCCCATTTGCTTGCACAACAAAAGTTATTTCTAGCCTCTTATGGTCATTAAATTGTTTGAGAAGTTCATATTCATAGATGTTTTAATAGCATGTTTTGTCTAAAGACATTTGATACTGGATCTAGATTAAAATACTTGACATGAACCTGTTCAATAAATTGGTATCCCATCAAACTAGCAGTAACATCTTCATTCTGCTCTGTGTTTGGACAAAAGTAGCAGGTGCTCCTCATCTTCTTGCCCGAATTCTTTGCGTTACAATATTTTTGTGCAAGCCTTGCGCTGCATTTTCCTCCTCGACCTATTGTGCCTTGAATTTTATGCGAACATCTGCAGAAACACACACGTGCATTTTTTATCAGGTACGAAGGAACGAAACTACACAAGGGGAATTACCCCACCTATACACTGAGGCTGTAATACGGAGTAAACACTTATTTACATACGTTAGTTATATAAGCTTAAAGCTATCTTAAAATATCAATTTACTTAGTTCTTACTGCAGTCGAATAATCATAGGTTAAAATGGCTTTAATGAAAAATATAAAAAATGCCGCAAAACAACATTATTTTCTTTAAAACTATTTGTGAGACCATGTTTTAATGTAAAAAAATCGATTTTGAATAACACCAAGATTGTTCATCATTTTGCGTTAATGAAATTTTTTTCTACAAAATTATGTGTTAGGCCATGTTTTAACATGGAAAATTCGATTTTGGTTGATTCCAAGATTATCCACTATTCTGTTAACCCTTTACGAAACAAAGCACTTTCGACCCCCGCTCTAAAGACCTAAAATAATGAAAAATGCCCTATTTAGGCCGCAAACACTTGTTTCAATTTAAGAGATGTTGTTACCAAATGCGATTCGGCGCCGCCACCTATCAAAACGATACATCAGGGTCGTGACAGAGTAGGGCGTGTCCTCCTCTGCTAGGGAGTTAATGGGGATGCCGCCCCCTCAACGCGTAGCATATTGTGGAGTTGTGAGAGGCTAAAGATAGCCTCAGGCCGATCTTAAGGTAATGGTAACCAACACTGAAAAGCCTTAGACTCTATCTCAATCAATTGAGAAAATTTGCAGCACTTTGAAATCAGTTTTAATGGAAAAAAATCAATGCAAAGTACGTTGCCCTTATAACAAGAAATTTAAGATTAAGCATGCCGTTACAAGGGAACAGTGGAGCCTTTTTTTATCGTTTTATGGTAATATGAACACATATCAGGAGGCTTTAAATGAAAACAGCCATTTTCACAAAATGCCCATGGAGTAATTGGTAACTTGAATATCTAAGTACATAGGGATAGCTTCTAAACTGCTCTGGCGTCGGAGTCAAGATTACAGATTTAGATTCATTGGCAATGAAATATAGTAACTTTTATTTCATTAGGTTTTTTTTTCAAATATTTAAAATAAAATATGTTCATAATCAATGTCCATATCGTATATTTAAAAAGATTCATAGCTCTGCCACTCTACGAACTTAAAATATTTTTCTCTTTGTATCGAAAGAGATATGATTCAGACTTGTACAAAAACAACATTATTATCATATATTGAAGATGCGTAACTCTAGTAACTCGAGTTTGTAACGTTTCAAGGTATGACCATCGTTATGCTATACCTCACCTCCGCTTTAAGGAATATTAAAAAAAACTACTGTTAAATACATTGAAACTGAGGCCTGTGGGTTCAAATCCCAGATGGGTCATCTTTTTTCTTTCTTTTTTTCTTTTAACATCATTTATGTATCTCTCATTTCCCTTTGAGAAAAAAAGTGTTAAACTTTTATTATTTAACTAATATAGGTATCTATTCGCTAGATATCAAAATTGGTACTCGATATTTTCAGAGTGTAATAAAATCAAAACTAGACGGTAAAAGTATTGAATATATTACAAGATCAAGCAATATAAGTTTGAGAAAATTTAGGGAAACTATGAAACTGGCGCTGCGTTTGGCAAATTAAGGGATTGTTTTAATGATAGGCTCTCTGAGTAGGAAAATGGTTAAACATGTGTTAAAATGGGTGGGGTAGGATAACATTTTTATAAATTGTTAATAAATTTTTAGTAGAACAAATCATTTTGCTTCTGTGGATTGTTAGCTGAATGTTTCTTTTTCTTACCACTTATTAATGAAAAGCATTTTCATAAGGATGATATTAAAGAATATTGAATGGTCCTTATTTCTGAAAATGAAAAAGAGTCTATCTAAAATCCTAGCTTAAGTTCAGAAAAGTGACCATAACTCGATTTCTATACGGTAAAGTTTGTTTAAATTTTGCATACCTGTAGATGTCATTTTAGGAATATAACTGAGCAGCTATGTTGTCAATTTCTCAGTACCTTATTGTGCCCGGTAGGGTGATCATCTCTTTAATGTGTACTGACAAAATGCTATGCTTTTCTTTGTTTAATTTCTAACTGTATGGACTGAATTAAAACCTTATAAAATATCTAAATATTAACACCTTTTGATAATATTTGTAGCAAATACAAGGCTAATCCTCCTTTGAAATTGATTTGTTATAATTGTTTTACACAACCATTTTCATTTATCTATTAATTTACTTTAGATATAAAAGTGTTGTATCCATATAAGCAAAACCGCATACGCCTGTTTTATTTTCTCTGGCACCTTAATGTTATTATCAGATTTTGTGAAAGTTCCTTACTTCCTACATTCTCGGCCATTCAAACCACACATGCCTAAGTTTATGAACTTGATAATTGTTGTGTAAATAAATATACACCTTTGAATTAAAACAGCATACGAATCATTACAGGACAGACCACAAATGTTCCGTATAAGATGAACAGTAAGTTCATCATTTTATCATTTACAAATCATATATCAAATCAAATATAATTCCAAAGAACGCGAATTTTACCTTACATTTTTCGAAAGTTATCCCTCTCTTTTATTGTAACAAAACATCTTTCTTAAATATGTTGTGATCCATTTATATGAGCAAAAGTTAGATATGGACTTTATTCATGATCAAGTTTGATAAAAGAATTGATTTTAGCTATCCATTTCCTACCGCTAAATATAAGCAATCGAGCGTGATAAAATTGTAGTCAATGCAAAAAGAAATATCTGACAGTGTTTCTCTGTTTAACATTCTACAACTGCTTGTCGTTTAGAGTTAATTAAATATTTTGAGACATCTAAGTGTATCGAAGGATTATAGCTGTTAAAAAGGACGGACTTTTTTTAAATTCCGTTAAACAACATTCATATTGTTTGTATGTAGTATAGTGGTATTATATTTTCATGGGGAAGTGAAGTGTAGTATGTGAAGTGTAGTGTGTTTAATTGTTGTGTATGCAGGGAAGTGTAGTGAAACGTTTGGTGTGTAGTGTAACGAAGCGTTGTAAGTGTAGTGTAGTGACCTGAAGAGCGCCGTGTGTGTACTGTAGAGAAGTAAAGCGTTGTGTAAGTAAAGCGTTGTGTAAGAAATGTAGTATAGTGTAGTGTAGTGAAGCATTTCATGTGTAGCCTAAGGTTAAGAAGTGCAATGTTTTGTATTCTTTAAAAATGACATATGCATAAGTTTTTTTATTCATACGCATTTGTTTTCATGTAAATTGTATTATATATAAACCATACTATTATCATAATGAGTAAACTCGAGTTCATACTAAACAACAGCAGGTTTCAAGTGCGGTTTTGCATCTATGCAAAGTTGCCCCAAACATCACTTCAGTGTTGTTATATTTTCTTAGTCCTTAGGGATCATTGATTCCTGCACTTAAAGCGTTTACAATTGAGTATCCCTCAACCGGTGCTAGGGATTGTGAGGGATGTTGCACATTTTCCTTTATTTCTCACAGACTCTATCAATCAATGTCTGCAATCTTTTATTTTGTTAAGACGCTTCTGAGGGATCTACCTTTTCCAGGTTTTAAATCTAGCAGTTAAAAGTTTGACTGTATAATTAAAATATTATGATTACAACAGTACACATATTGTGCATGTATTCTTTGTATTTTAATGTGTATATAGTGGCACACGTCAGCGTCTATACAATGACAACTTTCCGTCGACAATAGCTGAGATGTTCCGACTGGTTCACTTAACACATAAAAGGTTGACTTTTATTTTGACAAAATTTAATAAATTTTAAGTTTTCGCCGATACTTTTAGTTAAGAACATTTTGATTTTAAATAAGTCTCTTTAAAATTCAAATGCAGGAATGACTATGTTTTTCTATAAAATGTAAATCAATGAATATTGCAAAAAAAAAAAATCGAAACAAAAAATACAAATTGAGCTGATTTGGGTTGAGCGTAAATAAAGTAAAATAGGTAACGGTTAGATACATGTATTTATGTATTAAATATTGGTTCGGTAAAAATATAGTGATATGATATTGTATTACATCACTATTATAGTTGTAAGACAGTTATTTGAAATCGTGCCATATATCTGACAACTTAATTGTATTGCTTTGGCAGAGGTATTTGAATTCAGTATGATGTGGTTGAATAGTTTTAGAAATATTTGTAATTATTTGAGCTTAAAGAAACTGTGAAATATGTGCAATGACTCGTGCTTTCATTCTTCTTTGCTTTTCTGTTCTCTCAACATTCCATTTATAAATTGTCTCTTTCTTTTGATCTACTGTTGTTATGTATGTAGCCTATATTTTAAATGTGTGTAGTATATATTTCCTAAATAGCTCAGTACGTAAAGCGCAAAACTAATAATCCCGATATCGTGGGTTCAATACCTACTCATACAACAATCATTTTTAATAATTTTGTTTATCTTATGTTCGTGTAATTCTTAATACTCATTCATCTTCTTTCAAAAAAGTTCTTTTCATGTTCATTCTAAAATAGCCTTTCTCTAAGTTGTTTAGTATTATAAATTGTTTATCAATAGTATATATTTATCACACACCCGTGCCGATTTTGCGACTCCGTAAATATGGTATTGCACGGCCGTGCATATATTTTGACGTGACGTCATAAGCGTTATACATGTACAAACATAGCGTTATGTTAGCGTTATACTATAGGCGCGTCATTGAAAAAAGACTCTTATTTCACTTTAAAAGGTCTTTAATTTAGGTATGTGATAAATAGAATATTAAATTCGTTATTACTTTATTAATTTATTGATTTCGTTGAATAAAATAATATTATGCTCACAAGAGTCTCGCATAATATAATTTTATTCAACTTGTGCAATAAATTCAGTATAGAACTTAAACTCATTTAATATCCTCTATATAATAAATGTTTTTACTTCAAGTGGTATGTGCTAATTTGATATATAATGTAATGTTATACTAATTGTGTGCTATTTTACTTATTATATCGTAAAGCTAACATATAAATATATTAGTTAAAATTCTGTAATTCTGTGTAAAAAGTGTTTTAAACATATTGTATTTATTCTGCTGTAAATATTAAACATTAATTAAATTTAAGTTGTAAACAATTAAATTTTAAACTGTAAGTTAAACTTTAAAACATTTGTTAAATTTAAATCGTAAACAATTGTAACTTAAACTTGACAATCATATTGTTTGTATTATTGTAAATTTCTGTTTCTCTTTAATTAAAAATTGTAAAATTTGTTGTTGCGTTATCTTCTCTGTTGCGTTTTGCTTGTAACAATGTACATACGTATAAAATAATTTAGTAAAAAGATCACAAATATGTGGTCAGATAATGAAAAAGAAAATAAAATAAATTTGTAAATCGTTGTTCATGTCATAAATAAAAAGGAATTAAAATAAGAGAAATAGTAAAATTATTATTTGAAACTATTTCATACTTGATTTATATAGTGTCCAATCGTCAACATATAGAAGTAGACATTACCTCACTGGCTTCCATTCCCCTGCATGCGGATAAAACTTTGGAAGTCTTCCAAAACTATCTGGATATTCATCAAATAGCCCCCAACGTAGATGACCCCATTCGTGAACGATAACATTAGCTAAAAAATAGAAGATAATTTTTATTTTTATCACTTATTATCGCATCTGCCTTGTCTAACATTCGAAATGAGTATGCTCTTTATGTTCGTAAATTATTTAGTTAAGCACATTTTACTAATTATTTTGTGCTGTTTTATTTCCATTTGTTCACGTGCTATTTGCATGTGTTTGAATAAAGAAAGTTACCAAATATCGTTAACGAATTGAATTTGAAAACAGTCAAAAGTACACCGCCTCCGTGGTCGAGGGGTTAGAGTCGATGACTTCTAATCCGGTTTCCTCTCTGGCGTGGGTTCGTTTCCCGGGAGATCCTTTGGTAGTTTAGCATGGAGGAAGGTAGTCTTGTACTGGTGTATCTCTCCAGGAACGATGGGTAGGAAACTACCCGCCTATATGACTGAAATACTTTGGGAAAAGGCGTAAAATCAAACAAACAAACAAACAAACAAAACAGTCAAAAGTACTAACCATGTTTCCCCCAACTCGTTTGACCAGCCTGAAGTAGGAATGAGGGTTGTATATACATTGCTAAACCTTCTTGTCCGCATTGATAACTCTTTGATCTAACGTGGGGTGAGCTTATTCTCCCAGTCTCAATATTGATGTATGTTTCCAATGATGACAAAGCTGGTAGCTCTTTGTACTTCGTCTGCGGACTCCATGACTTTGGAACAACTACTATGATCTTGCCAAAGTAGACTTGGTTTTTGGTTGCAGTGAACAAAAGTTTCGAGGCATCCGTGAAAACATCCTTTTAAAATCATTATTAAATAGCCAATCACACAAAGCTATTCCTAAATGACATTTTCATTTGATTTTGAATAATAAATATTGCAAACTTGTGTATATGTTTTGCAACTACATTCGTCACATAAAAGATAACATTGTCGGATACCCACGGTTGATTATTGTGTCGCCTCTACGGAGTAGTGGCGACATATAGGGATCACTTCTCCGTCGTCTGTCTGTCCGTCTGTCTGTCCGTCCGTCTGTCCGTCCGTCCGTCACAAAACTTGTCCGGACTACTCCTCATAAACTACTGGTGCAATTTCATCCAAACTTTACAGGAATGATCAGTACCAAGTCTAGTTGTGCATATTGTCAGCATTTTCCGGTTCAATGATTTGTCAGAGTTATGGCCCTTTAATAATTTTTATTTTCAAAGTTTGTCCGGACTACTTGTCTTATACCACTAATGTAATTTTTCAATGAAACTTTACAGGATTGGTCTGTAGCTCAAGTCCTTGCGCATATTGCACGGGTTTTCCGGTTGAATGATTTTTGGCCGAGTTATGGCCCTTTGATAAAAAGGTGTTTTCTTCTGTGTGTTGCCAGATACACAAAAGCTTGTCCGGACTACTCCTCATAAACTACTGGTGCAATTTCATCCAAACTTTACAGGAATGATCAGTACCAAGTCTAGTTGTGCATATTGTCAGCATTTTCCGGTTCAATGATTTTTGTCAGAGTTATGGCCCTTTAATAATTTTTATTTTTAAAGTTTGTCCGGACTACTTCTCTTATACCACTAATGCAATTTCAATGAAATTTTACAGGATTGATCTGTAGCTCAAGTCCTTGCGCATATTGCACGTGTTTTCCGGTTGAATGATTTTTGGCCGAGTTATGGCCCTTTGATAAAAAGGTGTTTTTTACTGTGTGTTGCCAGATACGCAAAAGCTTGTCCGGACTACTCCTCATAAACTACTGGTGCAATTTTATTCAAACTTTACAGGAATGATCAGTACCAAGTCTAGCTGTGCACTGTTCGTCTGTCTGTCCGTCTGTCATAAAATTTGTCCTAACATGAAATTGGCCATCATGAGGCGACACATGTGATTACTGATCGCTCTTGTTATGTTACATGACATGATTGTATTGATGATTGTTCAGCATAGGATATCCGACGATGTGAAGATGAACGGTACGGGAAGTATTTGTTGTCAATCGTTAAGAAAAAAGTGTAAATTTTGATCTGCAGAAGTTATCTCGTGAACAATTTAATACAAATTTAAAAATCTGCAGATTTTTTTCCATACGACTTAAATCTTATGACACTAAAAAGTATTTTTTTTTATGTTGATCGTTGAATGTGTGAAGACGTATAAAATGTTACTCTAGAAAAAATTCTATATTTTGTTGGATATATATGTTGGATACTTATAAAATTTATATGGATCTACAGATAAGTTAATTATCTTTCATTTGCTGACAATGACAGTTTCAAAAAAATATTAATTATGAACTTATAAGCTAAAACAGAAACATCCTTTGTTCTCAATAAAAAAAGCTCACTATTGTATACATTTGAAAGCTACAATCCTCCCCGAGGGGCAATGGCGGATAGTGGATTACTAACGGAATTAGAACCTGTATTGTTAAATAATAATACCGAGGTGAAAATACCTGTAACTAACACTTGCAATGGTCAGGAACCTTATACAAACTATTCCAGTGTATCTGTATCAATGCAAAATATGCAGTCAACGCAAACAATTTCTAAAAAGGACGAACAATTTGCATCGCCATCCGAACCGATGCGATATGATTTCGATGTCGAGGCTAACCTGGTCGAGCTACAGCGGCTGAAAGAATGGGCTCGTGACCTCCCATGTGATTTGTTTGTCAATCAACTACTTATAGAGTATCATAACTCGGAATCCAATCTTGAAAGAAGCAGACATATGCTGTTTGACATCCTACGAGAGTCGGAGGATTTTCCGTTTGATTTGAATAGCGAACTCAAAAGACGTGTAAAAACACGTCAAGGGGAGGCAACTTCAGTCAAACTGGCATACGATATTCACGCACTAATTTCGGTGCTTGAAGGAGACAACTTTTCGATGATTAAAGACCTTATCAGTGCCGGGAGAAAAACTAGGAAATCATCTTCTGTTATGTGTACACCTAAAACAGTTAAGATGTCAAATACTTGCCAATGCAAGGAGGAAATATCTTTGTTAAAATCAACGATTTCATCGATACAAGCAGACGTTCTACTGATAAAACAGAGAAATGCAGCATCACAAAATATTCATAATGATGACATTGCGGCAGTGAAAACAACGTTAACGGATCTTACGGCGGAAGTTACGGGAAATATTGACATCATGAAAAAAAACATTGATGATCTGACGGCATGCTTCTCATCGTGTCGATCTTGTATTTCGGACAACGTAAACATGTGTAAATCAAATATACTTTTTAATGCATGCAATATTAAACAAATGCAAGACCATACGCTACGGTTATCCTCTGCTTTCACACAACTTAAAATGTATGTCGATGAATTGTTTACAAACAACTGGCATCAGTCACAGAGTGCACATTCATTTGTCAATTCAACCCCCTATACCGCCCCTGAAACAGACTTGCAAGATTGCAATATCCATGACACGCCCTACATTCCTACTACATATAACTGTCCCGATTCTGAACCTGATAATTCAAACCCAACAGACCAACCCCTTCCGGCAAACGACCATGTCCAAATCATAGATGGTATAACAACCTTGGATTCTGAAAACTCTCAGCTTCGTTCACCGGGACCCGAAATTGAAAACCCACACAACTCCCTTCCTAAAAGTTACAGTGCCGTTTCCTCAAATCAAATTGATACCCTTGAGGATGATACCCACATTGATACACAATTACCAGAGGCTGAAGTCGTCGGTGGCTGTGCTTACACGGCACGTCGTGTTTGCACAGTAACCGATCAATATGAGAAACAATCCGAACCTACATTCGGTGGTCTTCCCATCCCTCCTATTATAACCGATCGAACGGCAAACAATAAAAAGCTTGCGTCATCTGGTGATTCATATCAAGAGGTTATATCAGATGAGTCTCAAACAAAACCCTTAAGACGCTCGAACCCCAAAAACATTGTGACATTGTCCAATGGTGACTCGTCACACACCGATAACACAATTAAATCTCGGAATACTCAATGTACCGATAATGACGAAGATTTCTTGCAGTATGTCCGCCGCCGAACTAAACGGTTTTTATGTTGGCGGTTTTTAAACCCAATATAACTGAGGCAAAGTTAGCGAAGTATGTTAGTGACAAAGGCCCAACAGTTACCAAAGTTTCAATCTTCAGAAATAAGAAATTTAGATCAACTGTTGTCCGAGTAAATGTTGAGGACAATCATATGGCTGACTTGCTTGTCAATGACCCATATTTCTGGCCCGAAGGTATCCAATGTAGACCTTGGTTATCATATAACGGTTATAAAAACCGTCATAATGAAGCACCCCCACGCCAAATAGGTCAAAGAGATCAGAAGGTCAATAATGGAAAGTCCCGCTATCCGTCTCATATGCGGTATTCAAACCGTTATAGAAATGACCAGTATAATCCGGCTGATTATAATCCTTATAGCACTCTAGACGGCGATGTTGAATAGAATCTTTATTATTACTTATGGATACTTTTAATAGTTTAAAAATAGCAACATGGAATGCAACTGGTGTAATGTCCAGTGCAAGCTACTTAGCAGACTTTCTGGTAAATAATAAAATAGACATTTGTGGAATATCTGAACATTGGTTATTTAGACGGGATTTACATTTTTTAGAAAGTATTAACTCTGAATATATAAGTTACGCTATATCTCACCCCGATCTAGATATTTGTTCAACGAGAAAAGTAGGTAAAGGAGGGCTTGCTCTCTTATGGCATAAACGTTTGAATCCAGCTATAACGAAACTTGAACTGAACTGTGAAAACTTCATTGGTGTTCAAGTTATGACGTCTCCTGGATGTTATATATTTATAGTGCAAGTGTACTTTCCATGTAAAAATCACACAATACGCTTGTATAAGCAATACATTGAAGATTTAGAAAATATTATATGTGCATATCAAAATAAAGGTACATTATTTATAATTGGCGACTACAATGCTGAACTTGAATCCAGTCGCATTTCAACTCCTATCCATATTGATTCTCGAAGCAAACTGTTATCAAATCTCATGGCAAAATTTGATCTGAAATCATTAAACACTCTTCCTATATGTAAAGGATCAAAGTTCAGCAATGTACCGTACAATAGTGATAGACAGACACTCATTGATCATATAATTGTACAGGATACTTGTGTACAAAATGTAATTAATTGTCAAATTTTAGATGACGATGCTCTTAGTGTTTCTACACACCGGCCTATTGTATGTTGTTATCATGTACATGTAGCGAAAGAAATTTTCAGAAAAAGTACACAAAATATAATTAACTGGCGAAATGTTAAACAGGAAGATTTATGTGCTTATAGATCATTCTTAGACAATAGTGACGTTCTAAAATGCGCTTTAAGTCTCGAGATTAGTGAAACTTCAGTTATTGACGAATTATACTCGGCTATCGTTCTTATTGTCAACCTAGCGACAGACTTATACATCCCAAAAGTTCGCTTTAAGCCTTACATTAAACCATATTGGAACGAAACGCTGACAACTCTACATAATGAAATGAAGAAAAAAAGACAATCATGGACAAGTGAAAATCAATTGAAAGGCACGCCCACCCACGAAAACTACAAAGCTGCGAAACGAGCATTTAGGAGTTTTCACAGAGATACGGTTTTTCGTTATCTACAGAATCAAGAGGAGGATATAGACTCCGCTGCTGAATACGATAACAATGAATTTTGGAAATTAATTAATAAGCGACGAAATAAGAAACCATTCACTGCCGGGTCTGAAATGAACTTTAATGGCTGTGTCTTGAATGACCCGAAAGAAATTAATTCCGCTTGGAAGCATTATTTTAGTGAGCTTTACTCACCAAATGAAGAAGCATCATTCAACCCGGACTATAGGATTAAAATTGAGAATGACTTTCAAGCATTAAAAAGAGGCATTACCACAGCGGAAAGGAAAACACCATATAATTGACGAAAAATGCTTTTGAAAGCACTTAAATCATGTAAAAATGGTAAGGCGTGTGGAAATGACAAAATTTATTATGAAAACATTACTCACGGTGGGTCCTTACTTCAATGTGTATTAATTAAAGTTATTCAATGGAATGTTAAACTTATCCCACACCCCGACCGATTTAAAAAAGGGGATTATTTCAACACTTTTCAAGGGAGGCAATAAAAAGAAACTGATCCTAACAGTTACCGAGCAATATCTTTGTGTTCTTGTGTGCTTAAACTTTATGAAAAAGTCCTCATGCAGTTAATTTGAAAATGACGGGAAATTAGAGTTTAACTCATCACAGGGAGGTTTTTCAAAAAAATGTGAACTGCCTGATGACAACGTATATGTTACGTGAATGTATCAACTACGCAAAAGAAAATAATTCCCCGGTATATACGTGTTTCCTAGACGCCAAGCAAGCGTTCGACAGAACATGGACATCTCTTCTATTAATCAAATTATACAATACCGGAATTGACATTACAATATTCAAGGCAATATTATCATTCTTCACAGAATGCTTTAGCTGTGTTAAATCACAAGGCTATACATCGGACTGGTTCCCGATTCTGCAAGGTACCAGACAAGGGCAGTGCCTAAGTCCTTACCTATATATCGTATTCATTAATCAGCTGATGAATGAAATAGAAAATAATGAATATTGCTTCAAACTTCATGATATACGATGTGGTTGTCCAACGTCGGCGGATGATATGGTGCTTATATCACATGTTAAACACGGTCTTGACAACCTTCTTGACATATGTTATGCAAATGCTCAAAACGAACGAATTTTGTACAATCCAGATAAGTGTAAAGTAGTTGTTTTCAATGACAAAATCTAATGTTCCTCGTAAATGGAAACTTGGAAGCAGAGAAATCGAAGAAACGGACAGTTATTTGCACCTAGGGGTTCCTTGTAATAAGTCTTTATCCTTATCACAAAATATAGAGAAAAGCTGTACTAAACTCCGCAAAACATTTTAATAGCTGTGCGGATTGTGGAATACAAAAACATGGTTTAACCCGCTCACGTCTAAGAAATATATGAATCAGTAGTTTTACCGCGAGCGCTTTATGGGAGTGAACTGTGGAATGACATTACGGACGCACAGTTAGCTCCCCTTGAACGAGCTCACCGTCAATGCATAAAACATATACAAAGCGTTCCGACAAATTCAAGAACAGACTTCGTGTTAAGCAGCCTAGGCATGTATCCGATAGGCGTCATCATTGACAAAAGGAAACTCCTCTTCTTCGGTTTACTGTGTCGTTTGAATACAAAATTTAAAATTAAACAAGTATTTTCAAATAGACTTACGTCGTACATGCTGGAACCGAGAAAAGTGTCTGGATTTATCCCAGATTTATACAAAATATTAGGTCGGTATGGACTAACTTCGTTCTTACGAACTTACATGAACACTGGAACTATACAATCCTCATACGCATGGAAAAAACACGATCAAATCAGCCATTCACAAAACTGTTGAATTCGAATGGCGCAATAGAATATTATGCGATGCCAGTCTATCTAGTTTCTCCCGCTTGCACTCAAAGTATGAACCTTGTATGTTATGGAGATTCAGTCGCCAGTATAAAACATATCAGATTCAATGTGTCTATGCATTCAGACTTCTTTCAAAAATTTTCTCAAGAAGCTATGAAGTAACGTGTGATAAATGTGAATTACCCACTGACTATATTGTGTTACATCTTATTTTCTTCTGTGAGAAAATGGAGAGTATCAGATCTACATTATGGTCTAACCTGTCACATATGTTAGGCATACAACAATTCGAAATCTTTTGTTCCTTTTCACCAGAATCACAACTTTTAGAAATGTTCAGTGGTTTTGATTCTTTTGACATGAACGATAGCCTGAGAGTATCATGTTTTAAGGTGTTCCTAGCAAGTGTCTATAACATGACTACCTAAGCAATGTTATAAACTGTGATATAAGCAGATGGCGAATAACTTCATTGCATTAAGTTATATTGAGTTATGAACGTGTACATAAAGATTTAATACTGAATGTTATATATGTTCATTATTTATGTTTGATTTATGAATTTTCTTATTATAAATGTACATTTTTGTGATATCATTACTCTTTGTTCACAACACAACTTACACGCCTTAATGTTTCGTTTTCGGTTTAAGGTTAACGTATGTAAGTGTTGTTTTCATTAAGAATCCCTTTTTATCTTTTTTTTTTTTTCCACTATCGCTCAATTTAAAAATCATAGACAATGTAGATTTTAGATAGTCAATAATTGATAGTTTGCGTAAGTGTCCTTATTCATATATAAAATAACAACAACTGGCCTAGCTTAAACACATCTTAATCGCCTTGATAATTTCGTTTCGGTTAAGGCTAATTACTTAATGTGTTTTTGGCAATCATTTTAAATATTATTAAAAATTTGTTTTTTTGTTGTTTTTTTTTTTTCTCAATAATTATTCATCGTCTTTCCTCAAAATTAAAATTATTGTAACTTTAAACTTTACTTAATTGAATTGAATTTTACCTCTGCCTTCACCTAAGTAATTTTGTTACACTAAACAAGCTCAGGTCTGATGCTCTTGATATATACATATGAACCTGATATCTATGCAACTAAGTAGCTTATTCCCTTTATATATATATATTTATTCATTCAATTAACATTTGTTGATAGATATCACAGATTAATTGCATTATTTTTCTTTTAGTATGTTTGTACATATTATAATTATGCCTTTTCTTTACTAATTTATATAATTCTAAAACAATCTTGTATTTATATCTACTGTATATATGATCTTTTGTACTATCTGTAATATGTATAATGTAAATGCTCTTCAGTAATGGAGGAAATAAAGATAATAATAATACCTCGCAATGTTGATTATTGTTTAGAAAAATAACTATACATATATAAATCAATAACTTTTTTATCATACCTGAATCCTGTCAAGAAGTTCTAGATTTTCCTCAATAATGTCCTGTATAACAATATAAACATCTTCATATCGTCCATTGTTAAGAGTTATCGCACCTGCTGTCCCCAAAACTAACAAGACCGTAGAAAAATAAAGTTTGGTGAAAACCATTACTCCGGATACTAAAATTTCGTAGAAGTAATTTTTGGTATTAATCTTTTTATTCAATTTAATTTATTCTATTTATGAATAAATAATTTTTCACCAAAAACAAAAAAAACAACGTTGTTTATATACAATATGCCCCAAAAAGTGCTAAATTATCAAATGCTTGAACCACTAATTGTATAAAGAAACCAGACAGTTGTTAGACAATAAAATGTCTGATAAAGCAATACAACAACTGATATCTTTTTCTATAATACATGTATATGAAATAGATATACATACTAAAATTGGAAACAATACACAAGGAAGTTCACAGGCATTGGCCGCTTTTATCTAGCATTGTTTGTGACTGTAATAGCGTGTAATTAAGTTGATTTCGTTTTCATTTTTACAAATGGCTGATATGAGCATTTGCCAAATATTTTAAACGGTTATGTTAAAACAATTATCCTACATGTACAAACTATCATTACTTAACTGTAGACGTTTAAATGGTACGAATAATACATTGTCTTAATAACATATATATACTGATTTTGAAATTTTTCAACATGGTTTTATACGTGGGCTTAAGCATAAATTGCCATTGCAGCCACATTAAAGATGGTTTACATAATACTTAGCAGTCAGAAGTTAACGGGTTAACGTTACAAAACGAGACAGTGCGAAATGAGTCGCTAGCCGTTTGGTTTAAAGTACAGGTCTAGGTTTCTAACGGTTTGCATGCAGGTGCATTGCGGCAAGTCCGTTCTAAATATATTTCATCGGTCATGGTGCCGGCGGTCTTGGCGGGTATATAAAATGAACCTCTCCACCACTGACACTACTGATTGTCTTAATATAAATGATCACTAGCCATTAAAACAAGGAATATGTATATACAAAAGGAATGTACGAAAACTCTTAAAGTAACAGTGGCACAAATGTGACATGTGTGTGTTTTTATTTATCTCGTGGCCACGAGATACTATGTTGTGGCCATGAGTTACTAAGTCCTGGTTTATTTTATTTGTAAGGGACATTGCCCATGGACAGTAAATATCCTATAAGGTAAAATGATAAAATCCTTGTCTGATGAATAATTTAGAAAGGATAAGCCATGGTTAATGTAACCCAAAAAGATCATTGCACCTGATCAGTAGATGACATCTAATAAATTCGAGGTCATTGGGTCAAAAATCAGGGTAACAGTGACGCTAAATGTAAAATTATTGACAAGTCAATAAGTTGTATAAATGACACTTTTACAGGCTGGTGAAGAAAGGACATCCTTGTACTAAAGAACATGTCTAATTAATAAGGGAAATTCACATAAGTGGTGTAATCTGATTGGTTATTTAGCTCGTGGCAACGACTTAGCTATCTCGTGGCCATGACATAGTAACTCGTGGCCACGACATAGTATCTCGTGGCCACGACTAAGCTATCTCGTGACCACGACTTAGATACTCGTGGCGACGACATAGTATCTCGTGGCCACGACTTAGCTATCTCGTGGCGACGACTTAGTAACTCGTGGCCACGACATAGTATCTCGTGGCCTCGAGATAAATAAAAACACACACATGTCACCTTTGTGCCACCGTATAAAGTAAAACACAAAAAACAGCAATTGTATGGAATCATTTTCAATACTTCATTATATTGATACAAAACAAACACTCGTAAAAATATTACATTATATTGATACAAAACAAAAAAACTCGTGAAAATATCACATTACATTGAAACAGAGCAAACAGCTGTTAAAATATTACACCAGATGTAATGTTTGTAAGGGATATTTCGATTTTACACGCTAAACAAACATGAATCATATGACCTAAACTGGTAAAAATACGTATAATAAGGACATTGAAATAATTAGTTCTTTTACCCTACAATCTTCATATTTCGTTTGAATTTAGATAAATAAAGATAGATAAATATAAATCAAAGCAATATGGGAGACCATAACATATGATATGAAATGTGAATTACTAGTTTGCTTGTACAATACGATTTGTTTGACCTAACTTCTCTCTCTGGTGGATTATTTTAATTTAGACAAACGAACCTGGAACGAGGAAAAGCTGATAAGCTGTATCATATGTCTTATACTATGTGAACTTTGTATTGATTTAAAGCTGCAGTTTATAAATATATAGAAATATTTTGCCGTTAGTCTTAAAACTTATCAGTCTACACGTGATCTCTTTTAACAATATTGTTGTAAATCTAATGAAATACTGTTCAGAAATTATGATAAAAAACACACGGTAACACTACAGTTTGTAATTCTTTTTAACATGTTAATGAAGGTATATGCGCTACGTCACAACGTTAGACTTATTAATAATCAATAGTTGTAAACGATAATGTAGGATTTTTGTACGAAAGTCCGGTTGGGACATTTTAACTTGAAGTTGAAATCGTTAAGTTGAAATCGTGAATTCATAAAGTCGACACCGTGAATTCATGAAGTTGAAATTGTGAATTCGTGAAGTTGAAATCGTGAAGTTGAAATCGTGAATTCGTGAAGTTGAAATCGTGAATTCGTGAAGTTGAAATCGTGAATTCATGAAGTTGAAATCGTGAATTCATGAAAATGAAATCTTGAATTCATGAAGTTGAAATCGTGAATTCGTGAAGTTCAAGTCGTGAATTCGTGAATTCTGTATGTTGAAAACGGGAATTCATGAAGTTTACATTGTGAATTCATAAAGATTAAATCGGAAATTCATGAAGTTAAAATGGCCCCACCGGTCTTTTGTATTTTTCCCATCTAATCAATTTTTACCGTTTTGGCTTTGCGGTACATTAGGTCTATCGTATATACAAGAGGTACCAACTATTAGAATTATGACGAAATTCGTTATATAAAATGCGGTAATATATCCGTTTATTCGGACTGCTACTTAAAGCCATGTTTGTTGATTTTCTGTTGATGTTAGGATGACCCAAAGGTGGAGTTTCACATTTAAATAGGACTTTTATTCACGTTTTCGCCACAAAAAAAGTTGTTGACTTTTAAGCTTATAAGTCTCATTTTGGTCGTCTGGACACCAACATATGAACGGGAGTCGATATGAAAAGGATTTTATTAAACAAATACATTTTGTATAGTTATTTTTGTTTTTATGAAATTCATAAAATGCAGCTTTAAACGCTGCTATGATGTACAATTACATCATATTTAATTTATGATAATTATAATAAAACCTAGGAATCTACTCATGAAAGAATTATCAAATTAAATGTTTAATTTCCTTTTACAGCTCTCTTTTTTGATCACATCTGAATGACCAAATGTAAGACTTTATGATGGAATGTTTCTAAAATATGATAAACAAGATCAACAAGGAAAGGCGGCGTTCAATGAACTGATTAATATTAATTTTATATCTTCCGCCTCGTTTCGCCGTGGCTTTGTAGGCTATATTCTTGCTAAATCAACTTTTCTTATGGTCATTTGGGTTTACTTTTTAAATGTTTATGCATGTACATAACAATTTCTGTGACCATAATGACTTATTTCAAATTTAATAAACTTTACAACTGTTAGAATTTCGCTTGGCAGGAATCCATTCTATTTACAATATTTCGTTTAAAAGGCACATGCTTGGGCTTAGATTTAGGTTGGTGCACCCGTTTAGACCCCCAGTTGTGCTTATGACCGTGTTGAAGGCGGCGTTCCTTTTTGATCCTTAGATGTACATGTATGTGTTGTTAATTGTCACATGCTAATATCAGTGACACTTTTTGTGTCCCATTGTGTTTTTGTCGTCTCAGGTAAGTATTAACCCTTCCCCAAATATTTAAAAAAAGATGAAAGCCATCTTAAGCCACATCATACTCCCCCTCGGCTTTCGGCATTTCCTCTGTATTCTTATCCTGATGTTGGCTTATTATCTTATTGTCTTCTTAATATCCTTGTCGATTTCTTTGGCTTGTCATTTTGATTTTTATAAAACATTTTGTGCGTTACTCGTGTGCCTTCTTCTTAGGTTGTTTGGAGCCCTGCTTGGCATTGTCGGTGGTCCTCTGTTGCTTCATTGTGTTTACGGATGCGTTCTTTGAATACCATCCTTCCTTGTTAACCTTCGAATTTAATATCATAAACTATACAAATAAAGCTTTGACCCTATCTATTTCCCTTCAGATGTCATTGAAATAAATGTGCAAATAGAGAGTTTAAAGTAACTTTTTGGTTACTAAAATACAACATATTTGATATTTTAGAATTATCAAATCAAAGCATATTCTTATGTCATTGTTTCTTATGCATCTTGGGATGCTATATTTTGCCGTCGGTCTTAAAACTTATCTGTCTACACGTGATCTCTTTTAACAATATTGTTGTAAATCTAATGAAATACTGTTCAGAAATTATGATAAAAACACACGGTAACACTACAGTTTGTAATTCTTTTTAACATGTTAATGAAGGTATATGTGCTACGTCACAACGTTAGACTTATTAATAATCAATAGTTGTAAACGATAATGTAGGATTTTTGTACGAAAGTCCGGTGGGGACATTTTAACTTGAAGTTGAAATCGTGAAGTTGAAATCGTGAATTCATAAAGTCGACATCGTGAATTCATGAAGTTGAAATTGTGAATTCGTGAAGTTGAAATCGTGAAGTTGAAATCGTGAATTCGTGAAGTTGAAATCGTGAATTCGTGAAGTTGAAATCGTGAATTCATGAAGTTGAAATCGTGAATTCATGAAGTTGAAATCGTGAATTCGTGAAGTTTAAGTCGTGAATTCGTGAATTCCGTATGTTGAAAACAGGAATTCATGAAGTTTACATTGTGAATTCATAAAGATTAAATCGGAAATTCATGAAGTTAAAATGGCCCCACCGGTCTTTTGTATTTTTCCCATCTAATCAATTTTTACCGTTTTGGCTTTGCGGTACATTAGGTCTATCGTATATACAAGAGGTACCAACTATTAGAATTATGACGAAATTCGTTATATAAAATGCGGAAATATATCCTTTTAATTCGGACTGCTACTTAAAGCCATGTTTGTTGATTTTCTGTTGATGTTAGGATGACCCAAAGGTGGAGTTTCACATTTTAAATACGGACTTTTACTCACGTTTTCGCCACAAAAACGTTGTTGACTTTTAAGCTAATAAGTCTCATTTTGGTCGTCTGAACATCAAAATATGAACGGGAGTCGTTATGAAAACGATTTTATTAAACAAATATAGTAA